GCTAATGATCATCTGTTTCATAGATACGAGCGATAGAAGAAAACTGGTCAAAATTTGAATTTTCTGTGTAGGGTCATAAAAAATCGGAAACTTGCAAGAAAAATCGGAGCAGTCAGTATTGTAGGTCCTTTTACCAGCTCTTTCTAATGGTGCAAAGTTTGCGTCGATTGAGCGTCTCTATCAAAAGTTATGATTTTCGAGCAAGCAATACAAAAGGGCGATTTTGATTTATTTTGGCATTTTTCAGGAAAATCATAACTTTTGGTAGAGACGCTCAATCGACGCAAACTTTGCACCATTAGAAAGAGCTGGTAAAAGGGCTTACAATACTGACTGCTCCGATTTTTCTTGCAAGTTTCCGATTTTTTATGACCCTACACAGAAAATTCAAATTTTGACCAATTTTCTTCTATCGCTCGTATCTATGAAACAGATGATCACTAGCAAGCAGCTAAGATGCCATTATGAAGAGCATGAGTTACTCTTTCATACAAAAATAAAAGCGGCCAAATTGGTTGAAAAAATCGGAAGTTATGAATTTTTGAAAATCGTGCGCAAGAACTTTTGCAACAACCTAATAGTAATAATAACAATAATAATAATAATTAAAAAAAGTAATAATAAATAATTAGGATAGTGCACCGACACATCATGTAGCAAAAATTATGATCCATAACTTTCTATACTTATGTTTATCTTATTATTTATAGTCTAACGTTTGATACAAAGCTCTCCTATATTGGAGTCTTTCTCATTTTCCTATTTTCGATACCGTATTTCATATGAAATGAACTTTTCCACATTCTTTGGTGAAATACTTATATTACAACTTTAAACTCTTCATGGGCATAATTCACTAACTCTATTCAGGAAAGAGGCTGAAAAGAGCCCTCCAATTACCACTCAGTTCATTTTCCAATTAACTTCTTTTGCAGGAAACCTCTAAACTGTGCAATCAGCCTCATGCGCTAATCTTGTCTCAATCGGTTCAAACTGCTGTAAAAAACCAAAATTGCTGTTGTGCGGGGAAACTCGTCCGAAGTAATCGAATGACCGTTCGACATAATAGAAAGCATGTCGAACTCGCATGATTCTATGGCATTGCACTCCTTTTTAATTCTATTTCCATCCCTCTTTTCGTTTTCCACGAAGAATTCTCAGATCTAGGTTTAAGTGTTCATTTTTTTCTCTTCATGGACTGCATTCCATAAGCGTCTTTTGAGAAAAAAATCTGCGCATCACGGCTTCATTCTGAGCTTCATTCCGTATCAATATGAAAACCTGTTCCGGGGTGTCATCTGAGAAATTGCCTTTTTCGCACTTTGTGAAGAAAAGAACGGCTATGTTAAGCTCTTCTATAGTTCACAAGACATCATAATTCCAGGCGCCGCTGTCGCTTTTCGTTCTCAAAGCTCTCGATAATTTCGAGTGGCGATGGTGATTGTGGTCAGTCAAGTGCGCGCCGCTTGCCCATCGTCCACGCTTCGGACACCTGCACTTGCAAAGATTTAGCAGCATTATATATTACCGTATCACTACCGTATCACACTACCGCTTTAAGCTTACAGTAAACTCAAGTTGAAGCGATTTTTCACCTCCTCAGACAGACTCAATGTCTGGAATATCGTCGTTCTGTCACCTCCGCAAATGAAAAGCCTCTCTGAGACCAGCCTCTCGGAGCCTTGCTATAATCGCATTTGACATTTGGTGGAGAATGTTTTCCAGATCTGACCCGCATAGTTTTCTTTTATCCACCAGGTTCCTGTCAAGCATATCCACCACAATAAGCCCAATCACTTCTTAGAATGACACTTTCCCTCTTCCTTCAAAAAAAAAAACATCTTCCAAATCTCATATCGTCTAATTTGATCACTTTGTGATTGACCGCAGTCCAAGGCAAAAACTTTGAAACTGCCAATTTTTCTATATTCTTGTTTGGTTTGTTTTCGCGGCTGTCACATTGCTCAAGCGCCATGAAGGTGTCGAATGCTACAAGAAAGCTTTGTCCATTTTTCTGAGCTCGAAATCTGCTCAAACATGAGCGATTTGCAAGAGTTTGCAATTGAAACTGGACAATCTACTTAATGAATTGTCTAGATCTTTCGATTATCTGCCGATTTTATTGCTTTGTTTTGACTGCCAACAAATAATACATCGAACACATTACGAACTGGAGCTGACATGAAGTAAGAGAATACAATGCTCTAAAAATTTGTTCATACTAAACAATGACGAAAATTCTAGCATTTTTACAGTATTTGTAAAGACAACCAACAAGTTATCTAGGTTTTTTCTAAAGTAGCGTTCATCTTTTTTGTTCTTTTCTTCTCCAATTGGGTCAAATGGGTAACAGTTTGGATGTTGAAATGTGCGAGCTTCACCCCAGTAATTCTCAAAATTGAATATCTCAGTCTATAAAAAATGTTAAAAATGTTTTGATGTTGTCTAGCAAGTGAAGTCTCAAACTGTCACTTTTCAAATCAAAAACTTTGAAAGAAAACTGAATTCTCAAGAGTGACTTTGTGTTCTTATGTAACATTTCCGAATGAGTTTAAATTACAGGTTTCCAAAATAAAAATTTTTCTATAAAATGACTTCAAACTTTTGATGAACCGGAATCTGCACCAACATAGAGCAAGCAAAAGTATTAGCATTTCCACCCTATTAGTTATAATTCGAATTGATAGAGGCGTAGTTTTTGGTAAACAACATTTATAACTTCTTGTCTATTTTTTGGACTACCCATAGTCAATGATATTAATGTTTCTTTTCTCATGGTAAAAGGAAATGCAGTCCTGTCTCAGTGTTGAGGTTATTCAAACATTATTGAATAATGAAGCTTCATTATTGTTCAGTTGCATGATAAGTGTTGAAAGAAACAAACCTGCTTGGAAAATTTTTTCCCTAAAAATCATGTTTGATCTACTCCAAAAATCTTTTCGCTTATTTCTGCCTTGAAAGATTGCTCTATGATTTTCTCCACTGTCAGGACACAGCTTCTTTGTTAGGTTAGGATTTGGACTTTTACTGGGTCTAAACTTGATTTTTGCAGTACTTATGTGTTGTGAAGATGGAAAATAACATGCTAGCATCACATGAAAAGTAGCGAAATTTTGCAGTTTCGGAATACAGGAATGCAAGATATTCGTGAAAAAAGAAACAATCTTTTCTGCTATTAAGGCTAAAGTCACAAACCTACACTTTTGCTTATCCGTTTTGATGAAACAAAAAGTAATGTTGTTTTGAACGAATTTTAGTTTAGTTTTACCTTTTGATTTTTCAAAAAAATTTTGGACTTTATCAATTTTACCCATATGCGTCAATAAACTGCAAACCGCAAATGCAAGACTTTTCTGGTCTTTTGTACACTGCTTTCTCAAATTTCTAGAATATTATCACTGTTTTCTTTTTACGACTTTCATCAGAGAATTGCACCAAATCATCTGGCTATAGAACTTTTTTTTCCAGTATGCATAATCTAGCGAACCTTTCACTTTATGTAACACTTTATGTATTTGCTTCCTAGCTGGCTATTTTTCACTTGCGAAGAAAATTGCTCTCCATATTCCTAATCTAGCTGATCTGGATAACGACCACTAGGCTGAGGTAGCAATTGCAACAAACAAACAAGCAACAAGTTCTGACTGGTTTCGAGTAGATACGCGGTGCAATACCGGCACAACGGGGTCGTTTAGATATATTTAACGATATTTACCACATAATTTCATTGTATAGAGGAGTTCACGTGAATGCATCGACATGAGATTTATTTCTTTATTCCTGTACATAACACTCTTTGTGTAGAATCAATCATACTCATCTCGTAAGTTTATCTAGAAATATGCAATTTTAACATCATGCTTAAGGTGAAAATTGTGTATCGGGTTGTTTTGACGTGCTGCTTTTTGATATTCAAATAAATTTATCATGACTTTTTTCAAAATCGGAGCCACAGAACCAAATGATGCTCTATAACGAGGGTGTAGGTGAGAAGTAAAAATAAGAGTTAAAATTTTGAGCAATGTTCACAAAAAAGTTTTCTTCCTCCAAAACTAGCAAATCAAAAAAAGGTCACAAAAAATGAGCAGGACACTTGACAACTAGAAGTTTTCCAAAATACTCCAATCTAAAAAAATTCACCTTGGTGCAAGCTCATGCTCATAAGATCAGTACTCTGCTTTTCTTTTTTGAGCACATAAGAATGAGCAGTGATAGTGTTTTCAGAATACGTCTTTTCCCCTTGTGTATTAGGTTGAACGAAAGTTCTGTTGCAACATTTTCAAATCTTACCTTCTTCCCATCAGGATAGCCTGACATGGCAAAAACACCACTAAAAAGACCATGTATTTTCTAAAGACTACTTGCATACCCTATGTTATGCTCTGATTGCAGAGATAAAAATGGAAATGGAGGTTCGGTGATTTGAGGCAAGCCCGTTAGAAATCTAAAACTGCGCAATAATAGTCAAAACAGCCATTGTCATAAGTTTTCTGACCTCTCCTTTCCAAATGAGCAAAGTTTATACTAATTGAGCCCTTCTTTGAAAAATTGTGATTTCCAAAAAATAATGCCAGACCTTCTCTTAGGAAAACTGAGGAGTATAATAGAAAAAATAGTAAAAAAAAGTATAATAGTCTTGGAATCGTGGTTATGATGCTATTGAAGATTTTTGAGTTTCTGAGATAATATTATGGTTTGACAACTACTGAGCAGGCTGGATCCAAAACCAGACTTAGGGATAGAAAAGCAATGTAGAAAAGATTAGAACAGATTAGAACATTATTACATTTATGTCTTGCTTTGAGCTGTAGTAATGCATAATCAGCACCTTCATCACTTCCGTCCACTTATCAATTTCTTCATCTTTGAAAGCATCTGGTCCTTGTACTTAACACTAGCCCTAAGGATTCTCCGCGAAAATGAGAACAGTATGCTCTCGTGCATTTGTGTGTGCTTTTAACAAAAACTCAAATTCGCAAACCAGCTAATTTCCCTAGGTCATGGATTCTAAGCGGAACTGGATTCTCGTGGAAGCATCGACGTCCGGCTCCGCAACGCCCATTCATATCCGCGGAAGTCACCGGTAAGCGGTGGAATTTCTCACGCCATTTTCCATTCAACTTTTCCCGCGAGCCGTTCGTCCCGGGGGTGCTAATTCCCTGATAGGGGTCCCCACTTTCCCACTTGTGCACAACAGTTTGTGTTTCTGCATTTTTATGGGTGCAATTTAATGACGTTGGCATTGGAGTTAGGCATCGAGCGGCGACGGCACAGATCTGAGCGCTGAACTTGTCTATACCGGTTTTTGTGCAGTACTTATGCTTGCACTTACTACTCGTAAATGCTTAACCATCGCTCTGCGACTTTATGCAGGAGGAACGGTCCGTTCATGGAGCAGCACAGAGATGAGGCTCGACTGCACACTATTAATCGGCTAAATGATCGAATTCATCAGCGTATCATGGATAATTATCGGGTAAGTGTCACTACTATTATTCCCTCATTTTTCCCACTTTGAAGGCTCTTTTCGAACTGGCTAATCAAGTGGAATGCACTGAGGTATTACGATTCAAAAAAATGTAGTTTTTGTTTGCAGTGTAGGCACTTCTATCTGGGGGGCCGGTAGCACGAGCAAACACTGATCGACGGAATTCAGGCAGCGCTTTGTTTGAATTTTATCACAATAATGCTTGAGGTCCAGCTCAGGCTTGCCGGGGGACTTCTTTGTAGCATTGAGATCCAGATGCTAGAGCTTTTAATTACTGACATTATTATATTAGATTGGAAAGAAAAGATTGCCGCTTATTTTCGGGTTTTCTCACTAGTATTAATAATTTTGTCAAAAACTAGGTCATTCCCGAGGCCCAAATTTTATGCTCAAATTTTCGAAAATTTGTAGTATACAGCGGCATATAAGGGAGGAGCCCAGGGCCAGTGAAGGCGGAGTTTGCCACTTCCCGTTTTCAATGTATAGAAAGTGTACCTATACATGAGTGCATGTATCTGTTACATGCAGGAGCAGGAGGTTCGTAAAATTTTCTGAGGCAAAAATCCAATTTCTAACCTCATAAGTTGTTCTCAGGTTTTGGCTCTAACCTTTGGCCAAATCAAGACTTCAGCCAATGTTCGTTGATCATCTTGTAGAGTTTCTTTCTCCCTATCGAATGGTTCATTTCAAATACTTTTTGGGTCCATCTTATTTCTTTGTTATGAAAAACGACATATTTTTTTTCCAACCTGATATAACTTTCACTGTAATCATGAATATCGCTCTGACAGAATATTAACTCGAAATTCTTCTTCCTTCCAAATATTATCAGTTTTCGAAAAGTGCATAAATTGCGCGTTGCTTAGCATTTCCATTGATTTCTGCCATTTTAGTACCACTTTACATTCTATACAGTCAAACGAAAGACTCATAATAAGCATCAAATATGTTAGTCCTCATGTGCTTTAGTCGTATTTGTTCGAAAACTTTCACAGCCTAGTAGATTTGGTGTCTAGTTGTGTCCTAATGATGATGACAACATTTGCGCGGAAACAAATGCCCTGCTTGTGAATGCCGCCAACTTGCTTCCGACTTGCGCATAAAAAATGGTCAAAGAGTGCACATGGCAGTTGTTTTCGCGCAAATGTTGTCGGCGACGCAAAACATTACTTCAGCGTAAAATTCAAAACTATATCGATACTCTAAGCCTTAAACAAGCTAAAACCTGCGGACTATGTTAAAAGAGCGAGAAACTCAGTTGATGAACAAAATAATTACTATCCTTGAATGGAGCGATTTTTTTTTCATTCAACACGAACAAACCTTCTCATTTTTTTTTCCAGAATGGTACGTCAGAATCAATCGGTGAAGGAACGAAAGTTGTGGATGAGAGTTTTCGGTTTATAGATGATGAGCAGAGCAGAATTGGTCAGTTTTAACTAGTCACCCAAATCAAAATTCTGCAAATTCCTGAAAGAAATGCAGATCCAGAACCGATGTCAAATGTCTCCGATCGGCTTGATTCCATTGTATCTCGGAGAAATTCTCAGGGAGAAGTAGAAGCTGTATACGAAAGAAGAGTACCATGTAAGAGTTTGAGAAAAGAGCGATGGGCCTGCAATTTATTTTTTTCTCAGCAACCTCAAGTCGAGAAGACGTTCTTCGACCACAGTCGATTCTTCGGCATCCACCACTGTTTGAAGAGCCTTTATATGTCAAGCCAGCTATCCGTATGTCTTACAACTTATATTACTTTTCAGCTGAAGATATTAGGTTGATGCAAAAATAATGGCCGTTTCCAAGCCTTTTTCGGGACAATTTTCCCATTACAATTTCCTCCGTGAAACAGATACAGCAAACTAGTGAGTTGCTCTTTTTATGCTTCATCTAATGACAGCTGGAGCGGGCTTACAATCTCATTTTCTAAAAAGTTAAATAGCTTACTACATCAAAAATCACGATTTTGTTGCATTCATTTATCTGGCCAGAATTCGTGCGAATGAAGGCGCTTCTCCGAACATTTAGCTACTGCATGTATATAAAATTGCCTACATTGAGCACAGCACTTGACTTTCTTCTTGTAATTATCTACAAAGATATCGGCATTTCATGATGGGAAGCTGTTTGATCATTTTGTTATCCATAAATTTTATTTGAAGATTTTTCGCCAACTTTGCTCAGTTCAATAAGCGTAAAGGTGGGGCATCCTGTTGAGAATTTTTGCAATAAACTTCAGCCCTTCAGTACACAGAAAATCAGGAAATCTTATTAATCGGGACTTGAGGCTTATTGAAAAAAAAATGTTGAAGAAATTGACAATTTTAGATTTTGATTTTTTTTATTTTCTCAGGTTTTCTTTGCCCAGTTCTGTAACTTGGCTTGTGGCTACAAGATATTTATTCTCAGGAACTTTGAAGGGAGTTATGACCTGCCAAAAACAAGGTTTTGGGAAAAACCTTTTTGTTTTGCAATCCATATTTTTCTGATCAGATGTGATATGAGCATAGACGAATGTGAGCAGTATTGCAAAAGGTTTGCTGCTTTTAAAGGTCTCTATCGCATTCAAAAATAAAGATTTTTCAGCGAGTTATAGCACGTCAAAATAAGAATTAGCCAAACGGCCAGTACTTTTGCATCAACCTAATACAAAAATTGCAGGATCTTTGAGGTCCAGTCGAGCCAACGTTTCTCAACCCAAGCCACGTATGGGATTACGTCGGAATGGTCGCGATAACCGATATCGACGTACCGATTCCGTCGGTGAAAACTTAAGATATGGTAGAAGCGAAATCACTCACTATAGACGGGCAGATTCATTAGATTCTGGAAGCTTAAGGATACATAGGTTAGTCAGAATCAACAAAAAACAGAATGCAACGTTTTGAGCAAAAGCGATATTCCAGACAACGGCCACAATCAAGATGGTCCTTTTACCCAGATAAGCCATATTACGGAAGGTATCACGGAGTAGATGATGTTCGTCGTGAAGAATGGGCAGACGAGCCTCGCCCAACTTTTCTTCGTCGTACGCCACATTTTTATGATAAATGCGATTTGTGCGCATTTAGAATCATGCGAGTTGGAGACTTTTGCCCTGTATGTGGATTATGAACTACCCTATTTGCACATTTACACGAGATATTCGTTTTTATCAGGCTTGCGGTCGCACAGGATCATCATTGAGGAGGGAATCTCAAAATATTCCAAATGGCGGCTCTTACAGAAAAGAGGAGGTTCTCAGCGCCAAAAACTTGAGCAGTTATTTACGCAATGATTATATGTATAGACCTACGTCGAAAATGTACTCTACAGGTGTAGTTTTACTCAAAATCGTTTCTTGACTACTTATACATGGTTTCCAGAATTTCGAAAATTCTACAACAACAGTCATCGAGCGCCGCGTCGGAAAACGAAAAGCCCGGTGTTTCGATATGGTATAACAAAACTTTCCATATAACTCAATTTGCTCAGAATTTGAACAAAGTCAAAAACCCAAACCCTTAACGCGTTTTGCTCGGGTCATTCGTAAATCAATGTGTGAGTGTACACACTAGGCGCGGCAACTGACGACACCCTTACTAGTAATTTTTCAGTGAAACCTTTTCTAGCGCAATAAATTGGAGATATATGACTACTAACTGATACATATCCAGTCAAATTCAAAAAAAAAAACGAGGAAATAAGGAGGAATTACTGGATACGAGCAGATCCTAATCTTACAAGTCGTTAAGTAGCGTGCATGGAGTGCAATACGCATACTTAGTTACAAATGACTCAGAGAGACACTTATTCTTTCGGTACTCCATTTACAGTCGAGTAGATTTTCCGCTTGATATGGTTTGCTTACGATGCAGGTAAAATGCGGTAAAATACGCGTGTGAACAAATAGCCACGCCCATGACGCCGGTCAACTGCGCGCGCAAAATGCCGGCCGCATTTTACCTGCAATGCAAGCACACTATAAAACGCAGGAAATCTACTCGACTGTAATTCGAAAAAACTGCTATTAAACGGAAAACTGGTAGGAACACACATGGGAAGCAAGCGTGGGAGTGTTGTAGAATGGGCAAGGTTACTGGAGTGAACGAACAAAACCACACTTCAGTTCTACTAGAAACATCGCACACCAATAGTGGTGTCCCATACGGTGCCATGGGTATCGCCGTTTCGCATGCCGCACGCTCATTTGCGCTGCCTTTCGTGCGGATTTTTGAAGCGTTTAAACGTGATGTTCGTGCACCAACGAGGCAGCATAGGCTACGTTGGTGTGGTACCTATGGGGACGCTTCCATTATTCAGACAGGATAATATCATAGGTTTTCATTTGTAGGTTCAAGAATTCCTGAAGCAATGTACGACTACAGTCTCTGGGCAAAACGCCAAGATCGTCAAGCACTCACCATGCATGCTGCAATTCTTGCTCTTGTACTGTTCTCGACAGCATTTGTTGTTTCAGCTGGTGTTATATTGCTGGTAACTGTGACGTAAGACCCATACACTTTCATCTTTACCTCCACAAATGAACTTTCAGCTACTGGATGCTCAAATAATTTTTTAAGTTTATCTCATATTATTATTTGTGACATGTACATATCGATATTATGCCTTGACGTCACGACCTCGATACCCAGTTACTTTCAAGATTTGTTGATGATTCGTCTGTTTTTTTTTCTTCATTTCGTAGACATACATTCTCGCCACTCGGAGCATTTCCCACAATGTTTACTAAACATTAGAACAATGAGGAATGAACTAGAGACGATCACTTCCACTGATGCGCACTGAAGAAGAAAGAAACGCAACTATCACACTTAACACGTAGTCAACTCCTATTTCACAGCCACTTTATTCTTGAGACATATGGTTAAAACTTATTGGAATATTCTTTCCTATTTACATCATTAGAATCATTGGATAAATCGAAAGATCTGGCTTCAAAAAAATGTTTACGTCATTTATAATTATACTACAGTGCATTGATGAGAGGCGATGATGTTACAGCATAAAGTTAGAAAAAAAAACAGTGCACTACGAAAAAAAAATCATCAAACCCGAGCTAAACATCCAACCGATAATCGACACCATTGAACAAAAATACGGATGCAACATCTGCGTGGATAGATTCTTAGGCAGTTGTGAATATTTACGCTCTTAACAAAACACAAATGTGGAAGTTGATCAACAAATGAAATGAGACTGAAGGCAATAGAAACGCTACCTATAAAATAGACGTAACGATTTGAATGCTGGGGAGGGAATGAAATTTGCTATTCTATTTGCCTTACAAAAACGATTAGAAAAGGGTGAAGGGGGGGGGGGGGGTGGGGGATTGGAACGCAGCCTAAGAACATTCTCGAACTTATCGGACAGAAGCCGAATATTCGCTTTCAAACAAGAATTCACTCAATACATATTAGTATTTATGCATAATCATGGCATGTTTTGAGTTTGTCAATTCAACTTTTAACAGCAAAGAGGAACCCCATGATATTGATGATGTATAGAATTATTGACCTATGTAATTACCTATAAAGTACGAATTGAATATAAGATGCGCCGTAATATCTCCAAATCGCGCTACTGACATACAGCACCCCTGCAAGAGCCTTTTCTTTCCTATAGTTTGCATTCGCTTGAGAATGTTTTGATGAGACTATTCGATCAAGGTGTGGTGCTATCGAGCAGCGCAGCATTCTTATCATATATCAATAAAAACAAAACAGATCGCTGTCCAGACAGGTCTCAATAGAAGATAGCGCGCAGTAGTGAATACGAGCATAAGCCATAGCACAGCTATGTTTACGCGCAACGAACTGCGAAAACAGCGGCGCATATTGTAAGCCTTGAAATTACCTGAGAGCCAACTAGCCCCGCTTTGTAAATGCTATTTGTAAGCGGTCAAAAATAACTTGTGTAGATATTGAAGATGTGTAACGCTACAATCATCCTGTACCCACATCTTCGTCACTCACTCAGCAATAAAAGGTCCTGATTTGAGCAATTTTTGCAATCGAATGAACAGAAAAAGGTATACTGAAGAAAGTGGGAGAGATTTGTACCCCTACAATTCAAAAATCCGAAATGGATCTCTAAACACGATTTTCGCATTAAATACAATCTTCCATGAGCAATTACTAAAAGCCAACAGTGGTGACGTTATCAAGAGACCAAAACGTCAGTATCCTGGCAGTGAACACGTAAATTGAGCTATGAAGCAGCAGGCAACATAAGGATAAAGAGCTAGCCTAGTCCAGGTCAACTTTAGCGGTCAGCACGCGGGCGAACGCGGCGTGTATTACATCCGGGCAGGATACGAAACAAACTCTGGAATCGTCACCAACAATCTTGCGCACTGATTCACGTAACGTCTCGCCAGCTCCAACAAACAACGTCATTACACCCTGAACAGTGATGCATAGATTATACGGAACTTCGACATTTGTCAGATAGAGTGTGTTAGCCTCTCAGCACTAAAGAGTGGGAATTGGGAAATCCTGTTGCTCAAATGTATAATAAGTAGACGTAAGCAGCAAGATATGAAACATAGATGTTGAAAGTTCTGGTATGAGCCACACAAACCTTCAGTGGAACAGAGTTCCAATTCAACTTGACAACTAAATTCGCTTACACTCGGATTCTCGGATATTGCATGTTCCAGCATCGGCAAGTCGCTTGTGGTGTCACCGCAAACCAGAACTTTTCCCTTTTTCAAAGTATCGTGAAGGGACTCAATCAAAGAAGCTACACCATCTCCTTTATTCCATACAGAACCTAAACAGAAAGTTGATTATCTCAAACACTCAAATTGGTACGAAATCACCTGAATTATGTGCGCACACTTCGATCTCTAAAGGCGAAGAATTCTCTAAGACAAGATTCTGAAATATGCATAGCCTATAATGAAAGGAGTACTTGACATTCCACTCACAGTGTTATTGGGGTCCACGCGATGAATTCTCTCTTTGACTGCATCAATATATTTCACAACTAGTTCAAGAGGTATATGTCCAAATACAGTTTGTACCCCAAGAGTGAGGCGATCCACCTGAGCGGGTAGATCGGCACAGGCATGTGGATAGAGAAGTTATACAACATACCTTTCTCTGTACACCACTTCCAACCAATGCGAACTGCGCGAAGTCACTGCGCTCAAGGAGATCAGTCATCTGCTAATCATAGTCTAACTTCCAACAAGTGTTCTTTTGAGCGTTAATCGACTTTGGAACCCAACCTCATCACTTAGTCTGCCAATTGCATCGAAACCAGCTTCTGAGATTCCATCCTCATGTACGACTCGCTTCCCTCGCAACCACCATTCACGACCCCATGAACCACTAAATCACTGCCATAGAAGTTTAGCAACGTATCCCTTGAGAATCACAAAAAATCAACTTAGAAGAAGCTCACAAACTCTTGATGACTGAAAATTTCAACTGAAAATAGAGCAATAAAAAATAAGTATAGACAGTCCCACCTGAAATAAACAGGTCCATTGATCGGCAAAGCTGTGAGGTCCAAGATTCCCGGACCTCGAAGTGGTCCAGCCGTCAATACTGCCGTAGCTCTAGTGAATAGCTCGGCAAATCTACCCATTACTACAGCACTGTACACCGGCTGCAAGCAAGGAAATGAAACTTATTCAACAAAACAACTGAAATAAAATGATAATGAAGAAAGCACTCACCTGGAGGTTAGTGGCATATTGAGAACAGTAGTCCTTCATGGTGCCGTCCCAATCAGTGATGAGTAGTGGTTTAATACCCGAATCAGAGTCAACGAAGTCCATGAGGAATCTGAAGTGTCATGGAAATGTACATATTTGATTCTTGCTCACAACAAGGAGGCAGAAATTGGTTAGCTGTTCCACAAATCTGATAGAGAAATCTGAGAATAAGAAAAGTGAGAAGTGTAACCAAATCTCACGCTATTGAGCTTATGAATACAAAATGCTGCTAGAAAACAAGCTGACCTTTCCGCACCCTGTAGTTCCTCCTCAAATTTCTGCGGACTCTCTGGATGATACGGCGCCAAAATTTCATCTAGCTGCACTTCATCGAGAGCATTTTCGATTGTCGTTGAGGTAGATGTGACTTTCGCGAGACGATGCAAGAATTCGCAATCCTTCTGAAAACGCGTAAATCATTTGAAGAAGCAAAACGAGTGATATATATCACTCGACAGTTTACGCACAAGGATACGCCATCATAGTTGTCGTTCAGCTCGCCCGTATGCTGTACCAGCGTCATTACAAGAGCGCGTCAATTAAACGATAACCACTATCTGAGGGATACGCGTCGCGAGTGTCTGGAGCTGAGCTGGACAATATAACGGCATCCTAAAGCGACGAAATGATCAGGTGCAACGCTACGCAGCTGGTCACCCTATCTCCCATGTTATTTTGACATGCAAGCTCACCCGAAGTCCCCGAATCTCATCGCGGATGTTGATAGGGAAGTTGGCAGCCGGTGTGGCGATGCAGCGCATTTCTCCAGACGTCCGCGAATCCGTGAGTTCAGAGAGCGCTTGATCCAAAGCTTGTACGTTCGCCTGATCCACTTCACAATCGTTAAGGATACGCTCCACGATTTTCCGACGCACGTTTTGCATCTAAAATTTCAGGTCAATTTTCGTACATGCGGAATTTCCCGCTCATATATTTTCTAGCATATTTCGAGCAAATAAACCTAAGTCATTCTCAAAAGAAGACTCCAAGCAAACAGTAGGAAACGATTTTAATATGTGCCTCCTGCATTTTCGATGAGATACAGATTTCACCCCTTAATCACCCATTGAGACACCTGCATCGCATGTGAAGTTTTGCTAGTGTAACACTGCAACAAAAGCTCATAAACCGACCAAATATGATTAGTGCCGTTATCTGGTACTCAACAGACAGTTCATATCAGAACGAAAAATTAATACGAAACTAGTTCGGTAAATCGCACAATTCTCGGGATAACGATTGGGATCATTGGGAACCGGATAGACGTAAGCGATGAAGAAACAAACGAGAAATAGAGATGTTCTCTCTTCGTATTGATTAAAGCTAGGGTTCATAGATGCAAATTAGCCAGAGATTAAAAAAAACTGGAGTAAAAACTGACCGTGTAGAGCATCATCTTGAAGGCTTCGACACATTGAGCCTGTCCGCTACCAGATGACATCCTCCCCCTAAAAACAGCCGTCTTGCTATATAAATGAAAATTACAGTGCGCTGAATTGAGAGCGTATCAAAAGCAGTTTCAAAAGGAAACATATAAATGCGATATGATGGAAGCACATCAAGAATAAACCAGAAAGCTCACGTATCACAAACAGAAACCAAGATTCACTTCCAAACGCACATTTATTCAAGCAAATATTTGGTACAGTTGATTTATACCCACGCAAAGCATCAATGACCACTTATCAAAGAGTAAACATCGGTCAAGAACGAGACTCGAGACAGATGGCCTATCAAGATACGAGAGGAAGGACAAGATAAGATATGGATGAAGCAGAGAGAATCGACAAAAGAGACGACAGCTTGACGAAAAAACCGTCGAAAATAACATCGACTACATCCGCCAGATTAAACTTATAAAACTACTAAGTGATGAAAATGACCACTTTCTTCTTGTATAAATCTATTATTACAGCTAAATGACTCGCTACCCATTCGGCGCTGGGCTGAACAACGATATGACCGCCAAGACATGGCAGGATGCTGTTATCGGCGGCAGTTAATCGCGTCGAGACCTCGGTGAGGGATTACCCTTCTCTGAAGAAGAGCGATATAATATTTGGAGAGAGGTGTGTAGAGAGCGGCGATCGGTCGTAAATGCTCATGGCTTCGAAGAGGGCGGAACTGCCTGGTTCCCTGCGCGCAATCCCAAACTCCGCCCACCTGAATTTTGTTGTGAAGCAAATACAGCACCATCGTTTTTGCACTTCATATATACAATAGGCAGACAGGCCTCTATATTTTGCTTTTGTTGTCTATCTGTGAGTCGGAAGCTTTTCACACAATTTCTACCACGCCTAATCTATAGCACAGTTATTCTGGCGGCAGCACAATTAAACACGAATGTCTTTAGAACCGAAAATATAATCAGTGGTGTAAATTATTGCCAAAGCTTATTAGCACTGTGCTATTACTATTGCTTTTTTGCAGCATTCTCTGATATCAAGCACACTCAGTGGTAGGAGGAAGCTTATTTGCTACACATTATCGCACATTTGGATACAAAAGGTTGCTTTAAGGAATAGTTTTTAGATCATCCAGGTCGAGGAAAGTATGCCACCGAGAGGAGGCTCCTTCACAGACTGCTGCTCCTTTTGTGCATGCCACTGCATACTGGACTGGTATAACTTCGCAGAGGCGGCGGTAAATGGCTATACTTGCTTCTCCCCCTCATCTTATTGCACAAGACTTTATAGCCTTCCTATGCAGGACGTTATGAGCAAGTAGGATAGGTCGCGGACATCTGCTCAAAGCGCATTTCTACTTATTAGAGTACGTATCAGCTGTCCACTTAAGTACAGACTGAGCTACCATAACGTCCTCTACCTCCACTCTTAAGTCCAAGTTAAAAGATTTGGGTTGAAGGACAAACATGTGCGCATGGCCACGCGTAAGGACTTTTGTTCACAACTCTACAAATATGTTTTCGCGCAGCAGCAATAATCGCTGGAGTACATATCTAGTACTGCACAAGTACAAGCTACCTTACAGTTTAGTGATTAGGTCGTTGTGGGGTTTTCACACTGATCTTTCACCTTTGTGGACCAATTAATACGAGACTTGTAGAGTATTCTCATCAGTGGCACGAAAATACAATATGCGAAGGGATGGAAGGAATTTCCAAACATACCCCAGAATGAGAGCTCTAGAAAACTAGTATCACACAAGATCAACTTTGTAGATTAGGATAGAAAGGCAGGATAATTCACATTTTCTTGTCCTGGCGTATTTTCAAAATCAAATTTTTCTCTCAAGTTCGAAACGTTAGTTTAATGAACAAATTAGGGCACATTTTATTTATTTACATGAGGATCTGTATCCGTTGTCGAGTAGGATGTTGTATTCTACGACAAATCACTAAATTTGCATCCAAATAAGCGTATAAGTTGCAGACGTAATGTCTTCTCCTAATGATCTTCACCTTTCCAGCCGCTGTATTTGCAAGCAACGTCTTTGCATCTTGCCCGAGCATGGTTTATCGTGTTCTAGCCGTTACTGAAATGGTTCCTCTTTTCCGCAGTGAAGGCTTAGAAGTTGGTCATGACCTTTTGAAAAGCTTGATTAGTTACTTTCAAGTAGTTTACAGCAAACTGCATCCATAGCTCAACAAAAAAAGGTCTGCGGGGATGGGATTTAGAAAGATGAAGCCTTAATTTTCGGTGTAAAGGTTAGTTTCGGACGAGTATTTGCCGAGAATTAGCATGGAAAGCGGAGCGCGAAAGATTCCAGGCTAGGTGCATTTGCGCGCTCTAAGGAAGTTAGGTGCGCGAGCGCCGCGTTCGCACCCGTTCCGACGATAAAATATCCGATATTTACTCCGAGACTAGCCTTTGGACTGATTATAAGCATAGTCGATACCCTATGTTGGGTCTGTCTTTATGATTCCTCAGCAGAGCGATTTATTGGGCAACCGAATTTTAGAAGTATGATTATGGGAGGTAGTTTCTGTGCGTGTCTCACAAGGTCAATTGCTTATTGAATGCTTAACCATTATAAAAACACGAAAACAAGGAAAGCCAAAATAATAGCCAACTTGTTGTTATAGATAGTAGTCGTTGGCTAGTGCGCAGCTCAACCTGAGTACTCAATTTCCCCACATTTTTTTCGCATTTTCTCTCTTTACGATAGCTAATGATAAATGAGAAAGTAAAGGTGTGCTCCAGTGAGGTAAATCAGCACAGCAGTTCATATTGACATCGATCAGAGCACGATGTAATCCTCGCTAGGCAACTATGCCAACATTGCGATGATCCCAAAGATCGCAACTCGGTCACACTTTCGCAAATGAAGCAGCTTATTCCTTGAGCGAAGACCCCAACAAGGAGTAAAGTGATTCTCTCTTTGAAGCTGAAGAATACCAGCCATGACTCAAAATCACAGGTAATAACCATCCGAACCACAAACGTTCGTCCAGAGGGCACCGACGAGGTGGTTAGCCGATCGATACGCGGCCGTTCCACGCCCCCACTTTGCAGCCGGGTTCTCAGCCTAGTTCACCTAATTCAAGACCCTTCAGGATGTATGTTTGTGGGATTTACATTACCACTGGACGAATCTCTGCTCTCCCACTTCATTCATTGATTTCTGCTGAAAATTCCTATACATAATTTGCGGTCGGGCGCGTTCAACGCGCTTTTCGTTGTTGTAGCGATATTCATTTGTCTCCATAAATGGAGTCTTTGCCGTGGCTTTGGAAACATATCTCTTCATATCTATCTATCTTCCTAAAACATTAACATTATTTGAACATTATATGAGCATTCTTGGTTTTGGGCTATTGTCATGAAATAGGCCTTTTTGGCTCCATCTGTATATACCTTCCAAAAGCATTATTTTATTTGAAGAACTTTTTCTTTCATGCATCTTCCCCAGTTTCCAACGAGAAATTTTGCTCATTTTTCTCATTATCTTTGTCATATATAAACGATATGTACTCATTATATGGCTTTTCGTTGTTTGCACAATTTTTGGACATAATAATCAAATACAGATCCCGCGGTATTATATCATTCATATCTGCAGTGCATGCCAAAAATTGATTTGATCAATATTTGCCCTGTGATGCACTTGATTCCTATGTAAATGCATGGCAGTCATTGTCGAAGCAGAAGTTGAAAAAATGGAAGTGAAAACAGCAAAAAGAAAGAAAAATTCACGGACACAGTCACTTGCTGCTGTTTCTCTTAATAAAGTGTGCGCTTGCACTATTTATGATGAGGTTGGCCAACGAACCCAGCAATTTTTTGTGTTTTTCTAATTATTACCTTTGCTGCTTGCGCACAATCGAGTTTCGAGAAAACGTATAACAATCTGTCACTTTTTATCGAAAGACCGGCGCCCTGTCGTCAACATTGTGAAAGTGGTGCAAATGCACCAACAATAGCAAAAAAAAGTTGTTTGACTGTACTAGCGCAGCATATCGCGGAAAACATGAGTATGACTTATGAAACCCTATACAAATTTACTGGTAAGCATTTTATGGTTTATATCATATTGAGCGAAAGCGTTGTTCGCTTCCTCAGGCTTACTAACCAACATGGTCTATTAAAGATAATACGGTTTTTTTTTGGGGGGGGGGTCAAAGAAAAGTCTGGAAGTTTCCATAGAAGAATAAATAGATGCGCTGATTATTGATCTCGCGTATGTCGTCTAAATCTTACCTTTTTATTCTTGGCGTAAGTTCTATCCGAGGCTCGCTCTCAAAATTTAAAGTGGTATTTTTCTGTCTTGTTAGTTACAACGTATTTACCTGAACCTTTATTGTTTTCTTTGTGGCGTGCTTGAGCCGACTTAATGATTAATTACCGAAAAGCAGTGTCAACATTGGCATTATATCGTAAGGCTACCATAGCCATAGCGTAGAAAGTCAAGATTTTGATACAATTCCATTAATGTGCTCTGGGAATACGGTAGTTACGATTAATCTCTCATTTTGATGAATCGATAGGGTGAATAAATTACATTTTTCACAACATGTCTGCAGCTGCGCCTAAAGCTCTTGTTCGCGACTTTTTCCCTTTTGGGATGAAAAGCCTCAAAAAACCAAACGGTATCGATAAATAAATGCTGACATAGTGCCTTGTCCGTATGTTCTCTCAGATATATTCTGAACACATATGGCCCACTTGTTTACTAAGGAGAAACAAAGAACTAGTTTTGAACTTTTTGTAGATGAAAACGTTTCTATTTGCAAGTGCATCTTGTGAAAAGGTATTTGGGAATTTGTGCGCGCGAGTTACATTTGCGTTTTTTCACTTTTTTTCTCATTTTCACACAAAGAACAAATCTTTTCTGCATTTGTATCAACAGCAGGTCTCTCAGGCCCAAAAGAAACTCACACGGATAGACTTGGATAGTCGAGCAAAAGCGGTATTTTCAGTCTCAGATTGATAGATTGCAACTATTTGCTGTGAGCAATTTATTCATGATGTAGCGATCCTGAGATCTGCATAGCTAGAAGTCGAACGTACTAGATCCACCAAGAAGCACGTGCCAGCTCACCAAATTTGATTTTTCCGGTCGACTCCCTGATTAACTGTTTTTTTTTTCGGGAAGTTTATAACTTGGTTGCAAGTGTTCTTTACTATGCTGGACGAATACAACACGAATATAACAATTCCCGAATGGGTCATCTTTATTTTATGGTTATTTCATGAGACTTTGCAAAATTCTACTGTGAGACTGCCGTAGTCATACTAGACCATAGCAAACAAATTATGAGTCATATGTATTGCATCTGGAGCAAAACCCTAATAAGAATTCTATGGCCACCGTAGCCCTACCGTATGTCGCAAACAAAATCGAATGTCATCTTTATAATCAGCTTTCTGTAAGTTCCCAAATACCTTAAATACAGATTAACCTATATTAAAGCCACAATCATTTCACAGTTACGAATTACTGTAATTGTAATCAACCAGCTAAACTTTAACAGGGCAGAAAATGCTCTAAAAATGTGAGAAATGGCGGAAATGGAAAAAATGGTGTCTGGTTATGAATAAGCTTCAGGCTTATTTTCTCTCTTACTGCTGTGCCCGCGCCACATTTCTGTTTCATATAAACGAATGGCACAGGTTCTGATGATGTGGAGACGTTTCTGAGTTTCTATAAATAAAAGAATTCGTAAGTGGGATGGTGGTATGATGAGCTGCCATTTCATCAATCATTGTAGGCTCTCAGATCGTGAAATTACGGCTAATGGGTGATATTGACAAATGAATCCAGTTCTGAGTTCGCATTTTTCGCACTACCAGCTCTTTCCATAGCATCATTTTTCAACCATAATGGGTTCCCTCTATTCAAGGACTCTCGGCTTTCAGTTCTTATTTCTTGTTCTGGGTATGATATTAATTCATGCGTATGCGAGTCATTAAGATCTCTCCAAGGCTTTTTAAAATACTTCCGGTTCATTTTGAGGTAGAGCTGGAGGTTGAGGCGGATAGGGTAGATGAGGCAGTGCCTCACTTTGAGCTCCTTCCAACTGAGCTACTCTGCCGGATTTTCAACTATTTGGAATTGAAGGAACGTGGAGTAGCTGAACGGGTATGTTTTACATTTTGCAACAGTATCTCATGAAGGATTACGGTATTTCCAGGTATGTACAAGATGGCATACTGTGCTAACATCTCGAGATTGTCCACTTGCCGATGTCGTCGTGGTAAACCTTTTTGAGCCAAGCGTTTGGGTGGACACTATCGCAAAAAATCGATATACAACGTAATTAGGTTATTTTGATAGTACTGTGATCGATTCTTGACTTAGCAGTAGCAAATATTACTTCCACTCAGAAAAACCACTCGAACAGAAATTTTTCTAAGCTTCTATGGCGCGGAAAATTTCAATCTGATGAAGGTTCTAATCCGATCTAAAAAACTGTTTACTGTTAATTTCAGGGTAAAAGGAACATTTGTAAAGGACTTTGACTCTCTTCGTAACGTGTTCCATCACATATCTACTGCTCATACGGCTAAATTGTGGTTTCACACGGAAGATTTTGCGAGAAAATGTATCGGTACGTTTCTTTTAAACCGTTTGTTTTCTGACTTTTTTGGGCAAAGGCGAAATCGACCATGTAGTGGTAATTATGTCGCGATTAGTGGTTAAATACTGAATTGTGTCACATATTTAGCACGGTCTTGCTCACGTGCTCATATAGTTAAGTGGATTTCTTTACGAATATGTGCAATTGCACAAATCTTAACGATGTTGACGATGGAGCCGGTAAAAATATGCACGAGCTGTACGAAAATTGCTCCCAAAGAACGAAAAAAAAATACGGACAGAGAACAAGGAAAATCATATCTGGGCCCAATAGTCAATGCCCGTCCTAGAAAATGTGCGTTTGCACACATTAGCAAGGAAATCCACTCCGCTGCACAATATTAGGAAGATTTGCTTTTTAACAGTTGAGAACTTTATTCATAGATAGTGTGTAAATAGTGTTTGGGCTTCGCCATTGGTTTTCTGTAATCTAGACCAGAGTTGTCAAGTAGATAGTAACAGTCGTTTTTTGGGCGTTTGGGAAATGCTGCTTGGATAAGGAATAATGAGATGCCCCACCTCAGAGGTGTCTATAAATCTCCTTCTGGCTTCATTGTCGCCTCCAAACCTTACCGGATAAACTAGGTTGTTCCAGACGTGATCGCTGAGTTTCTGGAAGTCAAATGTGTGGATGTTTATCCCTATGCAAATGTCCATATACTGCCATACCTTCAAAAGAAGTTACCGCATCTGTCAGCCTTAAACATGCGACCACATTCGAATCAGTTCCATGCTTGTGGCCTACAGTTGCCATCTTTTCCGGATTTCTCAAAATTGACGACTTTGATACTTGATAATTATGGCGTAGGTGGGTACACCTTTTCATCTGATCTTGTTAGTTTACATTTGTGCATCACAAAGTTCTTTTGATTTCAAAATGGGACTGATTGGAATTTTTTATAAGTATTGCTAATCTTGTTTCAGAGGCAAACTTCGAGATTCCTAAAACTGTCACTTCGCTGGATTATTCAAAACGGGAACAGACACATTACCGGGCGCTTCTGCCGAAATTGTTACATCTTAGTAATCTCGAATATTTTACGCTTTCGCATGCGGATATGTCAAGACCTGAAGATTTCGGAGAGTTTGTACGTACTGTATCCAAGGATCATCTACCCAAATTAACTATTTTGGTAAGTTGTGAAAATTCTTGTCGAGGGTTTCCATTGTCAATTCTTTGAAAGTTCAGCTTCGAGGGCACTATCTAGGTAAATCATGCATTGGACCTCTTCAGTCTGTTCAAAAGGCTCCAACCAGTTATCACCTAAGCACTAATATAAATCATTCATTCCTAGCCCAAAAAGAGTTTTTTGAATTCTTGCACAGTACCGTAGTCCGCTTGAAAAGCTTATGATCTGGGGAGACTTCGTAGATGAATTGCTAGCACACGGGTAAAGCAGAAAAATACAGCTTGGGCAATTTTTTGGCTAGAATTTTCCAAGTAGTAAAAGCCCAGATAATCAAGATATGCATCTCCCTCAGGACATCCATCAAATCCTGCTCCTCTAAAGTTTGATCTCAGTATTTTGAGAGATGACATCTTCATATCATATAGACAAGATAAACTTAATTTATCAAAGCAGATCTGAAATGGCGGCCTAAAATGATTGTAAAAATCAACTTGCAGACCCTACGCATGTGTAAAATCTGTGCCCTCAATCTTCAAGGCGATGAAATCGGCATGAATTTAAAAATGATCAAATTTGATTTATGCTACGGTAATATCGCCTCTTCCATTCGAGACTTCCTCAGCTTCAATCCGTATGTTATTTTTTTCTATGAGGTAATGATAATCTAGGCTTTATATTTATATCTTAGGAAACTGAGCATTCTTGCCTTGAATGTTCTCTGTAATCGTGAATCTCTGGATAATGCATGCAATATATGTTGTGAATTACGGCGGAGGAGAATTGGCTTACACCTCTCTATACTACAAAATTATCCGGAACCGAAATCTGCCGAGTAAAGCAATTATTTCACATTCATGATCACATCTCGATTAAAGTATTTTCAGATCTGCATTCTTTGACCTAAAACCTCCTACATCTTTCTTCTATGTTCTCACCAAGTTTGAGGTTTGCCTGTAAATATCATCTTTGTTTTTATAATTGTGAGCTTTTAGGCCTCTTTTGTCGAGGATAACGTTTTGTTCCGGACACTTTTAATGTCAGGGACTTTTAAAGTGCTTCGCGAAATTAAGTTCGTTGAATGCGACGCTTTGACTACCGATGTGCTTCAACATTTATCAGAAGTTAGTTTTTCTTAATTTTGAAAATGAGCAGAAACCTTCATTTCAAGGTTTGCCATGACTTACTCTTCGTAGTGAAAGCAAAAATAGAATTTTTTCCAGTCCTGTCCTTCCCCCCCCCCCTCTGGCATAATAAGGGAAACGCTGAAGAAAAGTTCATTATTTTTACTCTTATAGAAATGAAAAGAATACTTTCATACATTGCTAATTTGAATTTCTTTGACTAGAAGTGATTATCAAAAGTCAACCTATTCGGTTGTGTCAGAAAAATTCTTCTTCTGAGAATTGCCCTTGGAAAAGGAATAGGCCAACGAAATTTTATCGGATATGGTGTTTCATTTAGAATCTCCGTGCTCCCCCTACCTTTTACATGAATCCTGCGACCTTTGATATCAATTCGAGGCTACCACCACCACTAATTACTGACCATGCGGTGTTGTTCTCAATTGAAACGTAGTTATAAATATCTAAGGATTATCATGATACATCAAAATTTCTCAAGCAGTGATAAAACTCCAAATGATGACGTAAGCTTGGTTCTACTTTTCCATTTCAGTGTGCTCCGACCCTACGAAAAATTGGCGTTCTTTCTTGTACCAAACCAAAAGACACGGATGTAATAATGTTTGTCGCTAGCATTTCAGCAAGGACTGCTCCTCATTTGCAGGTAAGAAATTCTCTGCATAATTTTATCGAAAATATTTACACTTTATTTTTAGATTACTTGGAGGAGAGATCGTCGCATAGGAAGTCTCGCCGCTTGCTACTTGGCATTAGTACATGAGCATCGAGAAATGATCAAAGGAAAGAAAGCACGATTTTTTGCGAAGACCTTTTCTGAATCTGAGGAAGGAGAGGAAATTGTGATATGGGAACGAGAGAGTGGAAAAACAGTGCAAATACGAGTGCGTATGGAAATTTACTCAATTTATTCTCCAAGCTGCGTGTGCCAGCGCCGGGCTAGCATCGTCAGTCGAGCAATATGCGGCGCTTCCACTTAGAAGCTGGCACGGTTCTAGCACGACGATGGCACAGGGCAGTTTTTAACGCTCCCCCAAAATGTTAGTTTCAGCCAGAAAAAGCTTTAAATTTGATTCAGGATTATAATGACCATCAGAAATACCGTACTCTCGGGTTTATTATTGGAGCCGAATCAGTACGTGACGAAGGACCAGCGGCTGTTATGGACGAACTCATGGCGAAATTGGACTGCTCTTAGTGCTGATTAGCTTCATCCGGATGTATAGAAAAAATTTTGGGGTTCAATATCTTCTCTCAATTTGGAGATGGCCTGAAAATGAAATTCTTGTACTTTTCTAGCTTTCTAATCATTGAAACTTTGCTATTTCTACTGAAGAGGTATAGTGAAAGCGCCGTAAAGTTCGAGTAGATATTCTCCGTGATACTTTTGCTCTAAACTTTCAAGCTTCCTATATGTAATAATTGGCTTCGAAATTGTAAATAGCACTATAAGAATGGATTTAATGAAGACCATGATTGTGTTGAGTTTGTAAGTTGTCTCCTTATTGTTAATTTCTCGAAAATATAGTTACACTAGCTAGTATAGCAGTCTTAGTATGCGGTCTTGTCCTCCTAAGATTCTGACTGAACTTGAAGCGCGCCACAAAACCACCTAGTGCTATGCCCCTTTGATAACGCACCATCAATTCTAAACTTCAAAAATATCATTTTGATCAAACATCTTCATCGTTGGAGCGTGTGGTGCTTTTAGTAGCCTTCCCAATTGCGGGTCATTACATTTGACGCTAGGTTAGTCTGGCAACTCATCACCCATCAAAGAACTACCGTATTTATTTGATTCTTACCGTATTTGTACCATAAAAGAGTGGATTTGTCACTGTCTATTCGTTTCTAGCTTGACTTAACATCGTTTATTTATCTTTACGTATCATACATGTTTCTGGTTCCACTCTCAGTTACACACCTGATATGATAAGTAACAAGCTATGTCATCATTCTGAATTCACGACAGCACAGGGAGGCGTCTTTCTCAGTGTGCAGAAGCTTTTTGCTTCAAATGTATATATTTCGAAATCGTTTGTAGTTTGTTTGTCGCGCTGTTGTTATGTGAGATTCAATAAATATATTGTCTAATGAGGCTTGTTATATTACATAGACACTCATTCAAAAGGTTCTCCAAGATAATTGCACCTTCGGTCATGGAGGATGATGAAAATCAATAATTATAAAGTAACTGGATCAATTTTTTTTTCATGACCCGCTCAAAATGATGGAAAGAATTGTGGGATTTGGTCGAAACTTCGCATAAGAACATTAGGGCGGGACAGTTAATAAATGCCAAAAATTATTGTTTCACTTTATTGATGTATCGATTTGTCCCGCTTCTAGCTCAGTATTTGTTAAGACCGGTCTAAAATGTCAGAAAGAGTCATGAGATCTGTAGACGTGAACATGAACCTTAGACGGATTTTAATAAGTTTTTCATGTTATGTTATTGATTGGTTTTATCAATGTAGTAATTTTTCGCAACTTTTCGCAAAAGTTCTGCGTCTCTCTGGTGATAATATGCTTTCCCTAAGATAACTTGAAATCTTTTGTAATGCTTTCTTCGATTTGCGGTGATGTTTGGGTGGGACGTGCAACCAATCACCCAATCACAAGTAGAGACCATGTAGCCAATCAGAATCTTCAGTATTTTGAAGACTTTTGACCAGCTCCGTCACTCACCTAAATCTATGCAGCATAGCCGCAATTGTCCAACATTATAGGAGGTACAAAGCGTCGGAAGTTGGTAGCATGGTGAGAATTAGATTCGAGAGAAGTCGAATCTGAATGATAATGCAGTCAAGCGAAAGCAATGGTAGTCATTCCAAAATAGTTTTGATTATTGCAAAAAGTCTCAGAAACCAGTCTCTCACAAAGCTCAATCACTCATAGGCCATACATTACAGAGCTAAGCAAAAACAAATTCTGTCATACAGTATGCTAGAAATGACACAATCATTTACTGATATGAGATTATTGAAAGAAAACAAAACTTGCAAATAACATGTGGATTGAGACGTGGCAGGGCTTGTGGTTTTCCAGACATTGAAGACGAAGAAGTTTATAAAAAAAATACTCAAAAGGTCAAGTTTCAGCTTGAATTGTGCAACTTGCAATAGTTGAAATTAGCCGTAATGTGCTGTGGATTAATCAGTACGAAAAAGGGATCATAGCACGACGATCAGCGTGGCACAGAAGGATTACGCGTCGAACTCCATCAAGCAATGCCATCGAATTATCGTTCAGTTTTTTTGTTAATACTCTCATGAAACTTTGATAAACACTGTGGATGTAATGAAAATTTCACTACCGCACAAAAATGCATCGAATTTCTTCTTTATAGGTGGGTATCAAGATCACTGCCATGTTAGTATGGCTAAGATTGACATTAATGGCACTGTTATTACAGTACTCTTGTGCGCAGTATCCTTACTGTTCAAAAGTTACCGAACCACCAAGTCAGTTTGATTTTTACTAAATGCGACTTCTTCTGTTTGAGTGCGGCCATGTCGTTCCAACGATAAATGTGACGGAACATGAACATTTGAAAAATAGAGGCGCATTTTTAGTTATTCTTCAGCTTACAAAATATAATAGAATTGATGCTGCCCTTTCAAAAGAAGTATTTGAGAAGTTTATTATCAATTTCGCCCAGATAATCTTTTTCAGTGGCAACAACCGACATCCAGACCATCATCTTCGACTGTATGTTTGTTATTACTCTTCTTTTGTTTTCGCATTCAGCAAGATGTAAAGAAATTTCAGGGGGTACCACCGAGCGTGAGTTCGTATTTCGTTCAACGACTGTCTTCGAATGTTCAGCTCTATATTCTATATTAGAATCCATTTATCCATGGCATTTTCATTTTCTGTCTACTAGTTATTTCCTTTTTAGAATACACTATTCAGTTCGATTTTTCTACGCCTGCATACGATGAGGACGAGACAGATGGTAAGTTATTGGAGCCAGATAATCCAGTAACGAGCTGAAATAATTCAGGTGTTACACATTTCACCACCAGTAATGGAAACAATTTTTCTACGAGAGACGCTTATGCCAGTAAGCTTTTTATGTTTTTGAATCTGCTTTGCTTCACATGTTTTCGTTTCAATTCTCCCTCGAAGAAAAACAGAGGAAGAAAAAAGTCCATTTTCCAAGTACCCAGAATGTCCGTGCCGGCGCCGTGCTAAGGCGGTGCCAGAGTCGATCGATCACTAATGGGCGTGTAGATTTCGATTCCGGCGCGGCGCTAGCACGGCACTGGAACGGCTGAGTCGTGGCATGACCAATTTGTTTCCTTTAGGTACTACACAATCGGACACTGAAGGCTCAAATACTTACACGACAATGTATTCCACAACAGCGAATGACCAATCATCATCGACTGCTCAACAAGAAACAGATGAAAGCAGCACCATTTCCGTCGAAATGACTTCGCGCGAACCCTCCACATTGAATGACTATACAGTCAGCTCAGAATTATTCACTTCTGAAGAAAATGCGGGATCTACATCGGATGAGATTTCAACTCTGGAAGCAACTTCCACTTCAGGAACAACACAAGATATAGAATTTACACAGAGCAGTGCTTCACAAACTGAAACCGAAACGGAAGCATCTCCATCTGAAACAAACTCTTATGACATATCCACTTCTGTGGATTCTATGACAATTGAGATTTCATCTAGCACTGCAGCAAGCGAATCAACCGAAAACGAAATTAGCTCCACAGTGGCAGAGTTGAACTCAACCTATGGAGACACCACTATCGGTGAACTGACATCAGAGGGGCTGAGTGAAAGCACGGCCTATTCATCTACTATAGCTGGAGATACGGTTTCATCAGAATATTCCGAGACAGTTGCCTTGACAGAAACTTCTACCGCTGTTCAAACTGCATCGGAAGTTACGGAAATGGCATCATCGGAAAGTAGCGAAGGGGCCAGTACCCTGCTGTCGACAGCTTCCGAAGCGGTAACAGAAGATACTCTGCTGTCGACAGCTTCCGAAGCGGTAACGGAAGATACTCTGCTGTCGACAGCTTCCGAAGCGGTAACGGATGATACTCTGTTGCCGACAGCTTCCGAAGCGGTAACGGAAGATACTCTGCTGTCGACAGCTTCCCAAGCGGTAACGGAAGAAACTCTGCTGTCGACAGCTTCCGAAGCGGTAACGGAAGATACTCTGCTGTCGACAGCTTCCGAAGCGGTAACGGAAGATACTCTGCTGTCGACAGCTTCCGAAGCGGTAACGGAAGATACTCTGCTTTCGACAGCTTCCGAAGCGGTAACGGAAGAAACTCTGCTGTCGACAGCTTCCGAAGCGGTAACTGAAGATACTCTGCTGTCGACAGCTTCCGAAGCGGTAACGGAAGATACTCTGCCGTCGACAGCTTCCGAAGCGGTAACGGATGATACTCTGTTGCCGACAGCTTCCGAAGCAGCAACCGATGATTCTGATCATTCTACTTCCTTCACAGAAGAGGCCTCTTCAACTAACGATGCTGGACAGTTCGAACAGACGAATTCCGCTAGCGACGTAACTGAAGGTGGTTCTCTAGAAACCACTGATTCGTTGTTCACCTCACAGGCGGATATCTCAACATCATTAGAAACCGATACTGAAGATACATCATCGCCAAGCTACACAGTTGAGATAACATTACCTACGAGCACAGAAGGAAGCGAGACCAGTGCAACAGAAGAGACAGAGGCCGATACCCTCTCATCAAGTTCAGATGAATCCACTGATATGGCCACATTCACGTCTGCTAGGGCAGAACCAACGGAAGTTTCAACAGACGGTGGACATATGACAGAAAGTGAAGGATCCTCGGTGAGTGAGGTAGTATCCACAGCCGCCTACTCAGGAACGAACAATGCTGCTTTCACGACTGCCGTTTATTCTGCTGTGACCGCCACAGCTTCTACTATAAACGGAGCTAGCTCTACAGTAGAAAGTTTGTCTTCGCAATCACCTACAGAAACAGAGCTAAGTACAGCAAACTTGGATGAGAGTACTCCAGGACCTACAAATATTCAAGAAACTACATACAACTCTATCTCCACTTCTTCTGACGAGATGACGTCAGCAGGGCAACAGGATACAAGTGGTACCGACATCTCATCAGCTTTACCCATTAACGTTACCTCAGACACTTTTTCTTCAACAGATGCCAGTGGTGAAAGTACTGTCATGACAGTCACGGTCGAACTTTCGTCTCAGCCGACCTCACCTGACTATCTCACATCAGTTGCCGAGCAAAGCACGATTACTGACTCGGAATCGCAGACGAGTACGCCGCAATCTGGTGGAAGCGACTTCACCAATCAGATGACCACAACATCATTGGAGGAATCTGAAAATAGTGACACAGTGGCTTCATCAACTCCAGCAGATGAAGAAATAATAACTACGATTCCTACTACTGTAATCACAACGAGTACTACCACACAGACAACCTCGACTACACCTTCTACTACCAGTACGTTTATACTCAGTATTTTTGCGTTAGTGGCCAGTCCCAAACGAAGCCGGACAGTTTGTTGCCGTGAAGCGGTTGCCCAGCACTTATCACCATTAGAGTAAGGTACAACCGCACGCTGCGTCCGCGTGCGCTTACCTCATATGAGCATCCGCCTTCGTCCGAGACTAGATTTTATATATGAAGTTTTCACAAAATTTTGGTTACAGCCACACCATTATATGCAAATATCAGCACATCAACCATAACCACAACTACTCCTACGGTAGTAACGAATGCTACACAGACAGCCACTCGTACGAGTACGTTACTAGTATAATCGCACAGTTTCCAATGATGTTTTCTTGCAGCTACCACAATTCGACCCACAACCACTACGACAGCAACAAGTGCGACCGAGTCAAGTACTCGTACAAGTAAGTCTGATTTTCTCCGCAAAGGCTGTTCATAATCGTGATAGACGTGATCGCGGTCTACTCGGGATCTAACGTCATAGCAATTTTAACCATCGGAACGAATGGTATACATAAATAGGCGTCCGCGCAGACCGCGGAATTGCGAAATCGCGTGACTCCTCTTTTCTCGTGCACTCTCGCTGCTTTCTTTCTCTATTCTCTCTCCGAGTCACGAGCTATCTCCGATAAATGCAACAGTGTTGTATTCCGCGCAAAACGCGAACGGCTTATAACCTGCGGTTTGGTAGAGAAAAGTACTGAAGCAAGCATTTGAGTTCTAAAAAGAGGTTTTCATTTGAAAAAATTCCTGCCGCAGAACTTGTTACACCGTGCGAACGGGTGCGTACGTCAGCAACATGGAGCACTTCGAACATGATTTCAATTTCTGCACTTTTGGGCAAAGCTTACTTGAAAAGAGGATCTAAAATATGCTCCTATGTAGACGAAATTTATATTCTCCGCGCAAAAGTGGTCGTTGTGCAACCGCACATATCGGCCTAATTTTGCTCGAGTAAATGATCATGGTCATTTCAACTCAGCGGTTCCAGCATGGAACACCACCACCTCTATACCTGCTCGCTCAACAACAACCACTAAAAATCTTCCTGAAACTACAACAACAGCTGGAAGGATCACAAGTCAACCCATCTACACTACAAGTAATCGTGAACGTTCCTTCCATAACGTAAAGCCTTTCAAATCTGTTTAGCTGTCGAGATGATACCACCATGGAATATTAGTAGCTCTACTGTCACTACTACTGTCACGACACAATCAACGAGACTTCCCACAACCACCGCTACATTGCCGTCAACGTCCTCGTCGACTATTGCTCCCATTACTAGTACTACAACTTTAGTGGGTCCTTCCTCTCGATCAATTCCCAATCAAAATGTCGAAAACGTTTATAGGTGACGACATCTCACACGATGCCATCTACAACAGTTTCCACGACGACTACAACAGTAGCCCCTGCAACTTCTGGAGCGAGCGGCATGTTACAATTAATTCCGTGTCAACTATTTAATCAGTGGTGACCTAAGAACTCAAAAACAGATTTCAAAAACTTTACTAAAAGGGTTCAGGATCCTTGTAGGCACTGTCCGCCCCAAGTTAAAGGCCTTGAGCTTTTGGCAGCATATGATGATAGCAGGGCCCCTATCAAGCCAATATCCAAGTCGCAGCGCAAAATGTCGCTTTGGAAGCGAGAAAATCGCTCCGGCGAAGATGCCCGAGGACCCTTGGACGTCACCCCTGTCCCCATCCGTGCGCGCCCATCCAATATCTTCCAAGCCGTTCGTTCTGTGAGTTCTCCGGAACGGAGATTGTCGGTGTTTTCGCGGATTCTCGACTTCATATTCGGAAACAGGGACATGAGAAGGCTCTGAAACGAAAAAAACCTGGTCGAGAATCTGAGTGGACGTTGCCTTTGAAGAGGTCGCGCCGGTGACGAGGATAGAACAAAATTTCCTGAACCCTTTGACGTGTTTCTAATGCGCTGACCAGATTTGGTGCGTTCCCACTTCGTGCGTACTTCTGGTAACCGGTAGATAATGCTTAATCACCATAACGCTTCAAGATCTTTCCAGCCAAGTATGATCATCAACCCCTTGACATGCGAAAATTGCCGCAATTCACTTGCGTAAGCACAACGTAATCCAAGATGACGTCCTCCCTAACCAAACCAATTCCCAAGTTTGCTGCAAGAGCGAAGAAATTGCTTCCAATCTCCATCTGAATCACCCTTTGACTCCTCCTTTTCCAGACAGTTGATTTCCAAGGAATATTAACCCATGTGGGAGCTGAAACTGGTCGCCAATTTTTAGGCTGTACTGATGGCTATCGCCTCGTTCAAGCAAATGCAGCAGTTTCTTCCGCTGGACCAGGAAAGTTTGGTGGATTCTTCACATATGTAACTTCTTGTGCTGAGCTATGCGCCAAGAATTACGGACTAGTACAATGCATTGGATTCGCTTATGAACCCGATAATCGAGGTATAGACTCGTTCAAATCATCTGTGTCTTCAAAAAACCATTTTTGCAGGTAAATGCACCTTGTACCAACGATTAATGGGTACAGTACAAAGCAGTCCAGGAAGTATGGCAAGCGTTTACGCCAAATGTTAGGGGATATGCTACGGACCTATAGGCAATTGCTAGACTCATCTACATGATCCAGCTTTTCATTGTCACTTACTGAATATTTCAGCATACACCATATGATAAATGTTGATGAAGGAAATCACTTAAAATGTTTTAGAGAAACTTCCATCATACCATTGATAATACCTTCATCGCTGAAAACTTATAAAATATTTTATCCTGCAATGATTTAACAAACTCGAGATCTTATGCGTAAGGGAGCTCATTGTAAGCTCATAATCCCTTGAAAAGATTGTCTTCTGTTTAAAGCAAATACCAGGACTTCAAGTGTTTGCAAACATTTTTATGTGAGTACTTGTCAATAACACCCATTTAAGAACAAATCATTTATAACAAAATCAACAACAAAGGAAACTCAGGCCTTGACAGCGTACTTCCTGAGCGGGAAAGCGCGCTCTTTGTGCTGCTGCTTCTTCGTCTTCAAACTCTGCTCATGCTTGGTAAGGCGTCTCCTGATGGCACGAGTTTGCTTTTTGCGCAGATCAATAGGCTTATACTTGTGACCCTAGGAAAAGACAAAAGTTGCTTACTACTGGAACAAACTCTAAAAAGTATCGGTGGACTCACGGCGTAAAACTTGCGAAGCTCCTGCTTGTAGTTCTGGTTGATCACCGTCAAAATTCGAGCGATAGTTTTTCGAACGACACGGATTTTGCAAAGCTTAGCTACAGCTCCTCCAGTTACTTTGGATACCTACAACAAGAATCACATTTGAGGTTTTTCTTCGTGTACTTTTTTGGCTATGGTTCAACGAACATGTGACTACATACAGACAGATGATTGTGAAACACAAAACGTTATTTACGTCACATTTTTCTAGAAAACCTCACACATTTGAAAACCAGTCTCGCCACTGCTTTGTGGAACTCTTCTATGACTTTCCATTCGTCGTATAAAAGTATGCACACATTTCCCTAACCCAAGATGTAGATCAATATGTGATAGTGATGAACAAATGAACTGTAAAGGCATTCCCATGGGACAATATGTAAGTGAAATCAAGGTTTCTCAACAGACGATTGTGTCACCAAAAAAGCAAAAAGAAACAATGAAAGATTGAACCTTTGATACATGCGATCTGAGGCGGTGTGCATCAATCTCTCGTTTTGGAAGCGGGCGATCATTTTCAATTAAAAATGATCGCCCGGCCGGGGAAAATGATCGCTCGCTTTCAAAGCAAGAGATTGATGCATACCGCCCCTGGTCAGCTAGAAATCCAAGATTATCAGCAGTCAAACACGGCATCAATAAACGTAAGGATGATAATTTTGCACTAACAATTTTTGAAAAGCGCAATTGACCAGTTCATTTTTCAATCAGAAAATCAGGGACTAGCACAATCGGAGCAAACACTGAGACTTGCAAGAAAGACATGTAAATCACAAACGTTACTTTAATATTGCAAAGTATGTGAAGTCGAATTGTTGAGTGGCACAACCTGGCCTTTACTATTTCAGTACACAAAAAGAGAAACGCTCTCACTGGTAACCCGCTTAGGGGTTTGGTGGACATGGGGGAAACCATGGAAATAGCGCTTAAACCCGCAACTTCCATTGTTCTTGAATGGAAGAAGCTCACTTTAACTAAGTGCTTTTTGCGTGTAGTTACATGGAGCTAGCCCTACATCATCCACCAACGTAGGTAACAACAAGCGTTCTCTAAGAGTTGAAAGCACTGCTTCTGAAAATTTCAAAAAGGACGGCAATAAGTGACAGCTAGAGTCTGTAGGACATGAGTATGTCGAGAGAGTGACAAAATTCAGTCTCGTCTTTTACAATAACTGTCGACTGAACAACGAAATGGATAAAGTTGCTGCCTTGCTCCTATAGGGCACAAAAATCGTGACGATGCGCGACCGTGCGCTAAACGCACACTATTTCCGAAAACCCCATTTTCTAGGGTTTCACTTCTAGTTGAATTCTTTTTTGCTTACGTATGCTAGTATTTAGACATGAAGCGACTGAGTTGATGTCTTCTGTATGAGTGTTTTATGCTCCTTTGAGCGCAAAGACCGCAATCAAATCAGTCGTCACGATTTCATAAATGACCTGTACCTGTTCGGTGCAGAAACAAAGCGTAAATAGCGTATGAACAACTCATACTCGGCATTCAATTTGCACCAGCGAAAGCCGCGGGGAAATAGCACCAAAAAGATTTGATTAAAGTGCGACACCCTACACATTAAGACGCTTTGAGGCGCCATTGTTGCGGTTGCTTATGCCAGAAACAAAGGGCCATCAACGCTGCATAAGCGAAGTAGTGCAAGTCTTCGGCCTTGATTATTACGAACAAGATTGATAAATATGTATGGAGTAATGCGGTTTTTAGCATTAAAACCTATGTCGTCACACCTTTGGTGAGTAAGTAGGAGCTTCAGAGTTCAGCGACAAACGGCATGAATTCATGCGAATGAACGTGCAAGAAAATTAAGATAGCGGCTTCCAGATTCATCACCCCGTTCACAAACCGAAAGTTGATAAGCAATGATATACAGATAGATTAAAGAATGTATAAATTATAGATTGGAAAATGTACAAATTACCTAGAAAATTGTTCAATTCGTGAATAAAAACAAGAAAAAACGCAGAAAGATGATGTGGTTAAAAGCATACAAAAAGCACATACCCTGAGGGAAGCAAGCTCGGTTTTCTGCTCGACCAACATCTTGATGAGATCATCCTTCTTATGATTGCGAAGATCTCGAGCCCGGATCTTAGTCATGATTAACCCTGCAATAGTGAACACATTTCAAATGCAAAAAATATACCGAAACATTCTTCAGTTATAGCAAAAGCATCGTAATAAGACAAATATCATAATTCCGAACTTTAGGCCCGATCAGGAATAATGTTCAGAAGTGCGCAACTGAACGGTAGTTGTATATTATCGCACTGGGACCGTTTTCGCAGTAGGGCACGTTATGTTATTGCAGATGTTAAGGCCTTGTAGTATTACATATTTTAAAAGTGTTCACAGTTGACTAATGGATTAGTTATTTGTCTGATTCATCTTTAAGTCAATATTCCTTCCACTTTTCACTCTTGGAGCCTTATTCACTTATCGATAACGACCATTGCCAGTTACTGCGAATTGCTATACTTCCAGCCAGGTCGTAAACAGTCCTGTTCTCAAATCAAAATCTTTCCAGTTCTTCCCCGTTCGCCTGCCATTCTTCATTCATGTTTGGCAATCAACCTAAAGGGCTCGTAATGCCAGTAATTATCATGAATTTTCCAATTTATGGCAAATGCCATCAAAATTTAGCCAGAGGACTGCTACAATCACTGCTCACACTCGAGTCGTATAGGGGCTTTCAGTCCGAGTGTCACGATCGACGTGGTTCAGGTGCTCAGGAGCCGCCTCGCTTGGGTCTCTCATGTGGTGCAATACCGCACCCGATACCACGAAGGCCAGCGGATGCGGTATTGAACAACATGAGAGACTCAAGCGAAGCGGTTCGCGGAGACCTGAACCACTCGACCGTGACTCTCCGATTAAAAGCTTCTGTATATCTTAAGATGGGCAGTGCTCTTGTTCTCATATTTTCGGCCAGGGGTTTCTGATTTTGGTGCCAGTCTGTTCACATCTTGTAAGAAATCATACGCCACCTGCTTTGCGTCAAAGAGATCGCGAGCTCTAAATCAGTTTGTAATATGAAATTTGCTGATATAGTGAGTTTCTGACATGGGAAAGATACTATGTGATCGCCTCTTAGGATAGGACGTCTACATATTTGGCTCTGTGCAAAGCTCATTTGCACATCTGCTGTGCGCTTTTTTCTGTACGGTGTTGTGAAGGTTTTTTGTTCCACGTTGAAGTTCTCATATGCAATATGGCAAAGTCTGCGCTTCAGAATCGTGATGTAATGCTTACGATAAGAATATGGAGTACGCCGGTATACAGGAGATTTCAATCTGAGCGTCACTGGGCGCTGCCAGGTGCTCGCGAGCCGCCTTGCTTCTCTGGTCGCGCTCGCCCTCAGCGGATACGGTGTATTCCCATGCTTGAGATGTAAGAACCGTATCCTTGGGCACCAATAGCTGACAAGTTTGGGGAAATGCCTCGAGACACGTTCGCGAACGTGCCGAATGGCCCAAGGGCGACTCGCAAGGACTCGAGCCGCCCGACGGTGACACCCACATTGGAATCCTGTAGGTTTGGTCTGGCAAGCACCCATAAGAAAAGATCAAATATACAAGCTCTGACACTGCACACTGATTAATGAGGCTAGTCGTCGTTAGATGACGTGACATTTGCGACACATTCGCTTGTTCCCTGTTTCATTCTTATTCACCCATAGTTTTCAACGTAAAGTATTATGGTAGCTTTGAAAGTACGCCGGTTGTAATTATCTTCCCTTTGTATGTTCTTCCATGACTCAATCCAGAGCGAACTTGGAGCATCTCAGCCTGGGTCGCTCTTACCTTAAAAAACGGCTGGTAGCAGCACCGATCGGTGTCAGATCGTATTTACTATTTGTGAGACTAATTGTAAGGTACAACGACATACTCAAAAAGTAGGTAAGTAGTGGGTTAAGTGTGCCACACCCGTTGCTTGTCGGCTCATCAAAAAAAAACACTGGCATGAAGCAGAAAACATCTGCCTGGGAACCTCGCAATGCAACAAGGTAGACTTGAAATTTTACGGACCTTTTTCGAAACGCATTTTATGAGTTGTGGGATAAGAGAAGTGCTATCCAGAGCGAACTTGGAGCATCTCAGCCTGAGTCGCTCTTACCTTGAAAAAACGGCTGGCAGCAGCACCGATCGGTGTCAGATCGTATTTACTATTTGTGAGACTAATTGTAAGGTACAACGACATACTCAAAAAGTAGGTAAGTAGTGGGTTAAGTGTGCCACACCCGTTGCTTGTCGGCTCATCAAAAAAAAAAACACTGGCATGAAGCAGAAAACATCTGCCTGGGAACCTCGCAACGCAACAAGGTAGACTTGAAATTTTACGGACCTTTTTCGAAACGCATTTTATGAGTTGTGGGATAAGAGAAGTGCTATTTGAGCAATGCGCGAAGGTTAATCATACTAATGGTGATTACACTGCTGCCTTTCATTGTTTATCCAATCGGAAAGATGCTCTATCAACTGATTTCGTAATAGTCGTACTTTCACTAGAATTCGCAGAGAATTGAGTGTTGCTAAAAAGCGATACAATTATGCAAGTGTCACCAAATTTTAGTGGATGGAAGACAAAAAAATTAAGACGAGCGTTAGTAACGTAGATGTGTTATTTTGTTGAGAAGAGGAATGCAAATTTTTATTGATAAAGAGATTATTTCAAGACCAGATTTTGATTTTCACCATTTTCATATGCAGTCAATAAATTACGACCAAACTGGGTCCAAAACCGGAATGTAAAGTCTAAAGAGCCATACAAGGAAGAACTATACATATTGCTATGAATCGAATGTCACAACGATTAAAACATACAAACAGATACGAAAATTTCAAGAGAGTGAAAGTCTTATGAACAATTTTCGCACATTGTAGATACAAAAATCCCACGACAATAACTACTTTTCAAACTAATCCATTGAACAATAGAATATAGTATTTCATGCGAGAGTGAAAGCTTGGATTGAATGCCGTCAATTGATGAAGAGCTGTAGAAGGACAGAGAGCAAAGAAGTCGCTATAGTGATAAAAGCATTCAAAGAGACAGGGAACACAGATCAACCTTATGGACATGCATGAAACCAGATAACAAATAGAATCTTCTATAATGCAAAGGAAAGCTACGGAAAGCTACGGCTGATGGTCACAGAATCAAAAAAGAGATACTCATCAAAACCGAAAACCTTACTAGGCGAAAGACTCAGCCCATCTATGGCAGCTATGGGTGATGGGCATGATTAAATCTTTCTCATACAAAAGCTGTACAATCCATAAAGAGCTAAGAATGCAGACGCTAAAGCATTACCACTTCTCGTCAAGAGTAAGGAGCTGTTTCATCCTCCACTGTTTCGATTCTGTGCCCAGCTGGTTGTCATTGTTCGCGTGGTTTGTTCAAATCGCGGAGATTGGTTAAGAACTTTTCAGGAGTGATGATTTGATCGGACCCTTGAACATATTTTGATATTAGAAAAACCACATAGCTCTGCTGCTCGCATCATCTAAGGCGGGTTTTAGAGGCTTTAAGTGCTCCTGTAGCGTCTGTAGAGTGAAGCAAAAACAATAGGGTACAGGCGAAAACACTCTAGAACTAACCTATGATAATTTCCCACGGCTTCTTCGCTTGTGTCACTTCATAGGCTGCTCGCATTTCTGAGTATGTAAGGCCTCCAATAACAAACACAATCAAACGTGGGCCACTGCGATACTGCGCTTGCTGCCCACGTTCCTTATGCCACTGCCCATAACGTGCAGAAGTTGGAGCTCTAAGAATAAAAGAGTACTTACATTGACAGCGAAGAAATTAACAAACCTGAATGGCTGATTTATCTGACGACCAGCTAAGAAGGGGAAATGCTTTGTATCAAGTTTGTCATCGATAGCATCCTCCATGATGTCTTTCAATACTGGAACCCAACGCGACGACTGATAAACTTGCTCATTCGGCCGCTCCTTTCTGGAAGGCGTCCACACCTTCTTTCGTCCTTGCTAGAAATATAAATTGCCCGCTACTTCTGGTGGGATTGGAAATCTTGTTCAACATCCTCTTTAAGGTGTACAAAAAACCTACATCAGTCGTGATGTTGAGACCAAGAAGAGAGGCATTCGTTATTGTTTCCTTTTCAGCCATTGCGATATTTGCATGTTGGAGAAGCTTGTTGAGATTTTCATCAGTGATGCCTGAAGTGTCACCTACAGTGCAACTTCTCTTCACCCGCATCGCTCACCATTTTTGCTGAGAATATACAGGAGTATAAGTCTCAGGCGATCTTCTGTCTTTACCACTGGATCAATCAATAATGGTACCATCAACTTCATTGGATCCCTAACCCGCTCTCCTTCAGCATCAATTTGTGTAGCGAGATCCTGAAGGAAATAAATTACGAGGAAAAGTGAAACGATGCTGGAGCAGGATACTAACCTGCTCGACTTTACAGAGTTTGTCAACGCCGCTTTGATACTGGCGCATGCATTCCTCAGCCAGGTGAAAATGAGTACTAAAAGTAATTATGATCGTACACAAAAGAGCGAAAATCGTCTCAACTCACCTAAATTTATTCAGTTCTTTCTGATGTTGAGGCATTTTCTTGATCATCATGGATAGGTCCTTTATGGATTTAGCATCTGCTTTAAAACCGGCCTTGCTGTCGCTGAATTTTTTCAATCCTTTCGTGACCTGAAAATTGTCTATGGCATCCAAATCGCGTTAAGCTAAGATGATATCTATTAGTGGGCGATATGGAAGCTGTTTCAGGTTAGTCATTTGACTGCATCATTTCGAGATGCCACAATTTTGTGTTTTCAGGCAAAAATGGCAAAGCCAATTACCGATGGCAAAAGCATCAGCGGGCAGACAAAAAGAAAATGCTAGAAAAGTTTAGAACCAACCTCCTGTGATACAACCGCAATGTGCTTGTGACGCGTGTCTACCCAAAGATCATCATTCTCATCGAGAAGAACCTGAACGAGTTTTATCACAAAAAATTTTCTAGCCACTACAGTGATGAGAAAGGATGACCATATAAACTGCTACTTCAACCTAGACAACTGACACCTCCAAAATAAAAAAGAACTCAAAGATTCGAACTCAAGATGATAAAGAAAAACACATAGCAGCCAAAAACCAAGATAGAAGCTAACTCACCTCTTTCTCGACACTATCATTGCCACCAGTTTCGTAGCGATACACATCATTCTCGATACCAAGCAAGTCATAACACATAGCTTGTAATGTCAACTCATGCAAAAGCGGAGTTACAGCATCGAAACCGCGATCTGCAAAGTTGATCAATAACGAAATGTTTTTGAGGACATTGCCTTACCTATAATCAATAACTGGCTCCGCGCTTTATCTGCTCCCTCACCCATTGTGGGATCGTCAGCTTTATATGCATCAAGCTTCTGTTCTACTAAGTGACCGAGCTCCACGTTTCGTTCAAAATCAGCACGATAACTAAGAACATTCACCATACTCACGTTCAGCAATTTACTTTGTTCAAAGATCTCACCGTAGAGAAGGATACTCTCCCAATGTGGCGCATACAGTTGCCAACTGCTCGGCTATGCGTTCGAGGTTGGATGTTAGCCCACCCTGTTTTTGGGCATTGTAGTACAGAAAATACGTGTCAGGCGAATCCAGGGTGTACACCTCAAATTACAGGATCAGAAAGATAACGAAAAGTGTAATAAAGAACGAGGGGTAGTGATGCGCAGTCGATATATGTAAGAAAAGAATGTACCTGACTCTCATAAGGTGTGAAAGCTATGTTGATTTCCTTCAGAGTCTTGATGTGACGAGCCGCTGCACTACGAGAAAGCTCCGAAAACAACGTATCCGGGCAAGCTTCGGTGAAAAAGACGTGGGCACATTTGTACTGATTGCGCACTGTATAATCAGCAATCAGACGATCAATCTAAAGCACAAACTATGCCAATACAGCACTTAACAGCTAAATGTGGACGCACCGATTCTTTTGTTGGAGCTATGAGATATATGGCATCCAGACTGGGCAGAGGTTCTCTTCGCTTTGCCAGATCTTCCACAATAGTTATACCATCTCAAATACACTGATGAGTGATAGTATGCGAAACATGCTTAAGTTTTCACGAGCTACAATATTCACCTTCCATAATGTTGTGCATCTTGCAGCACGCGGAAAGCATACGCATTGAGAGCCGATCTACGACCAGCGCATTCCAACCTTTTCCTTCAGGTTTCTTCAAAGGTCGAATTACCTCATTCAGAAGCTCTGTAACAAGTCTTAGAAACACTGAAACATGCAGCAGAAAAACAAGTTCACAATAAGCTTCTATATCAGTAATTATTATTTCGACTTGTTTTCACGGGCATTGATAGGCATGAGTATTTTGCAGCGTTCTCCAAAAAAAAGGAATGAGATCGTATGTATTGGTACGATGACTTGGCTGTCCCTCTGAATCAATAGAAAATGTGTCATCTCGAGAATCTCTTCGAAACGAATCGCCTTTTCGTCTTCGAAACTATGTTTCCAAAGCATATGCTCCAGCTTCGCGCAGGCCAAAAGGTAGCCGGGTTAGGACCCGAGAGTGTATTTGTCCAGACCCCCAAAGGTTCTGCTCTTAGATACCGAGGACATGTGAATTTACATGGACTTTAGAAACAAAATCCCATATTGGTGCTTATGTTTTTGATGAGAAGAGCATAACTATATTCAAAAGACATGTATTGTAAAGTGCCGCATCTTATAAACATCCACAAGAAATATGACTGAAGAAATTTCACTTGGTCAACTTTTATACGACCACACAAAATGCGTGCGTGCCCGGGCGATATGAAACTCATTAGTGACAAAAATAGCAAGAACTCGAAGGAAAATATAAACAACAAAAACCAAATAAAACAGAAAGAAAACGAATACATGTAAAATCGTCAAAAAAACAGAAAACGACCAAAAAAAATTGTCAAAAATCAGAATAAATCTAAACATCACTCACTATTCCCAACTATCTGCTTCAGAGACATGTTGACGAAGCTTGCTGTAGCCTCACGCAAGACTCAGCACAACACTACGATCCTGAAAGAAGTAAAAATCCTAACAGCAGCACTATGTTGATGACGGGATGTGCCCTGTGACAATCGCGAATGGCAATAAAGGCAAACCAATGAAGTGCAAATATCGTCATAACCGCGGCTATTGCGAAACTAATGGAGTAAAACCGACATTGTGTACGAATTATTTTTTTTGTGTTTCTTGGCCTTTGCAAAGCACTTAATCGGATGTTTGAAACAATGTGGCAGAATGCAGCACTTCAAATCTCACTCCACAAGACAGTTCCATTCCTGCGAAATTTTTTGTCCGTGGATTCTCTTAGTAGCAGACGCAGACGTTAACACATAAAACACATGAAGCGCGCAAGTAGGCGCTCTACAATCCTCGTACATGGTACAACGCACACAAAAGAAAAGGAAAGCCAGATTACAATATTTCAGATTGAACATTGTCAGAAACGAACAAAATAAAAGGGCTTGTAATCGAGACATGTTTGGGTTTGCGGCCGGGACGAGCTGGCAATTGTGGTGTGGTGCGGGATAGCGAAAATCGATAGCTCGACGCACAACATTGCCAAAAGCGCATAAAATTCCTACATTAAGGAAAAAATAAGTCGATAAGTACAGACTTTGGCAGCCTACTTAAAGAGACCCAAAACTTGGAGATTATCTTTTTTTCAAGAAATAGTCCTAGGCTATTGCTTGCTGGTATGGTAAAGCTACCACATAGCTTATTGAGGATTTTCTCGGAGCAGTCATGGGAACTTTGCCTTCTCAAGATCCATCAAGCCGTGAACGTGCTTCCCAAAGCTGGTGCACAGCGCAAGGAGCCGGATCGATAGGTTGCTGTCTCGCGGACACTTCCTTAACTCCACACTCATCTCTTCGTGTAGCATTCATAGGGAAACATAGAGGAAATCCCCGTTTACATCACTGCGAAACGCTAACAAAACATTACAAAGCGCTGGAAAAATGAGGCCGCATTAAAGGAATGCTTCACAAGTGCTTTGTCAAAAACATGTGCAATCCAAGATTCGCATAGATGCGCATAATGGCTGCAGAAAAACTGGGTGTAGCATTAGCTTAGCAAGCAAGAGAGATGTTTATGTATGTAGCAATATTTAGTAGTTACACCGCGTCAAAAGACAATCGCTTTAATTTCGCGCTCTGTTCAATTTTGTACGCGCGCGAAGGAGAATTTACTGCTACTGGATCCACAGCCCCAGCTGTATCACCTTTATCTAGTTTTTCGTCGCATAGGTGAGATACATGACTCGATGCCAAAAGTGGAATTCTGTAAAAGTTAGCAAGAGCGATTCTACACTGCTTGCATTTTCCGCGCATTGTCGCCTTCCGCGTGCCCCCCCCCCCATTCTGAGTCACATTCATATTCCTTGTAGGCCGCCATTTCCTCGTATTTCACTCATTTTTTTGAGGTTTTGTGTGAATGTAGATTCCAAGCAAACATAAAAACAAGGCATAACGTACATACCCCTTACATCAGTACTTACTATTTATATATAAGTGGACACTCTCTTGCTGGTCCGCTACATCAAAGTATTTTCATCAACATATGTACTGAGACTGCAGAGTTGTGAAGTGCCGCGCTCTGTCTGCAAACTACATACTAGGTTAGGAATGACTCCTCAGACACTCGCACCGGCCGGCGACCGTTCGACGGCCGGCTGGTGGGACCACAGGTGATTTCACTCAGCCGCGTAGTCTACGACCACCGGCCGGTATTCGGACGGCCGCCGGCCGGAAAGGTACGGCCGCCAGCCGGTATGTGGGCGCCGCGATACGAAATGGCCATGTGACGCGGTCTCTCTTTTTCCGTATTTATTTCGCTCTGCCGCCTATCCTCAATACAAGCAAATACAAATCCGTATGAATATATTTATTGTAACTGCATCATATAGGGAAACATACATAAATGAGATTGAATAATAGCGTAGAGTCTCATACAACATGCAACTAGCGCTACAAATTTGGACGCTTCTTATTGTACACGGAAGACGAGGTTTTCTTGCATAGTACCATCCATTCGCTACAAGGGCTCACATATCGTCCTTCTGCTGATTCCGGACTGAAAAAAAAGTTCACTTTTGTATCATGTAAATGCCACATAGCAGACGATCTGCAAATGAGATAAGCTACCCTCGATATCAACCCATATGTCTTCCCTCAATATGACGTGAATTACATGGATTTACATGGATTGGTGAGGCGCCACCTCGCTTCAAGCTTGCGCCACGCGTTGCGTGCGCCTCTTTGGCATGGTGTGGCAAGAAGAACAACATTATTAAGCCTGGTCCATCTTATTTAGTGCACCAGGTCACGCCAAACGATGCGCCCGCAATGTGGCGCAAGCCGAAGCGAGGCGGCGCCTCACCAATCCACATAATCCACGTCATTGAAGGAAGATATATGGGTTAATATCGAGGGAACTTACAAATGATCCCGTTAACACCAAAACTTACCGACGGTGTTATATATGACTGGGCAGAGCAAATCAAAAAGCTCAAGCAATTGTAGCAGACAAGTAATGAACGTTGTTTTCCCTGAAACACACAAGGACTAGTTCCAAATTTTTGATAAGAACGCACCTGTCTTGTGGAGTCTATACTAGGAGTTAGGCGTAAGGTCAGTAGTCTTGCAGCAGAACACAAACTAGATAGATTCCAATTCCCATAGAAATGTGTGACATGTAGTACACACGTAATCCATGAATGCATAGTGCTGAGATACATAAAGAGTTAGTCGAAAGGTCATATGCTCCATCATGGGTAAGGATGATAAACAGCGAGTATAGGGGCCTGCAGGATCGCGAGAGTCGGACGTGCGTACGGCCATTGCGCCGCGCACGTCGTATGTCACTGGGTCGTACTCGATTTAGGCTGGATAGGTGAGATTTTTTTGTTTTTCTTCTAATTTCTCGCCTTCTTTTCTTTTCAGGCGGCGAACATATGTTGGTGCAGAGGAGTTTAAGATCTAGATTGAGGTGAGGTGCAGGATTATGCTCAATACGGGCCAATATTGTGGACTTTTCACCCCTGCTTTGAAGAATGTTGAGTTTTCTGTTCTGGCTGTCCGATTATGTTCGATTTTTCGTCCTGCCTGCCCGGTTACAAAACTCCGTTTTATTTGCAACGTCTGTTCTACCTCATCTTGCATCATGCGCGTCATCACAATCATAATCATTGTCATCATCATCATCATCATCACAAGCAATATGCAAGATAAGGTAGAATAGAAGGTAGAAATAGAACAGTTTGCTGTAACAGGGCAGCCAGGACAGAAAATCCAACATCTCAACCAGCAGGCATGGAAGGTCTGCAATATTGAGTCCGTATTGAGCATAATCCTGCACCTCACCTTAATTCAGATCTTAAACTCCTCCGCACCAACATGTGCTCACCGTCTGAAAAGAAAAGAAGGCGTGAAATGTAAAGAAAAACAAAAAAAACTTACCTATCTAGCCTTAATCGACTACGACCCAGCGATATCAGGCGTGCGCGGCGCAAAGGCCGTACGCGCGTCCGACTCTCGCGATCCTGCAGGCTCCTATACAAGCAATGGTGCGCTGGTTGCATAGCGCAAGATCTCAATACCATGCATATCGCATTCGTCTCCTGAAAAAGATGGTTATGAAACGTGCCCATTCGTTCTTTTTTGTTTAGTCAAGAAGCTGAGCGAAATTCAAGCCTTGTACCCCTCAGTCAGTATGTTCCAGCTCTGCGTGTCACTTCTTCATCGCCATACAAGACAAGCAACAAATCTGAAAAAGGCGCTACAGATGTCATTGGGATTTTCTTTTGATTGTGAAAAAGAGGGCGGTATTAGCAAAGATAGAGTAAGATCACTACGGAATTCTAGGTATTTTTGAGTGACAAGCATACAAAACCTTCTTCTAACGATAAATTACGTAAACAAGACATGAATGAAGTAGAAAAATGGCGCTTAATCATAAACGAGGAGAAGTAGGGCGTTTGCTTACGCGGCTCAATCATGCAACTTTCAAATCCCGTTCACTTCCCGCGACATGGCAATGTTACCGGCTGGCGGCCGTTCGAGCGGCCACCAGCCGGTAGATTTCTTTGGAGCGGTCGCCGGCCGGTATTTAGCTCCGCCCAGATTTAAAGAGCGGCCGCCGGCCGGAAGGCCGTCGTCGGACGGTCGCCGGCCGGTGCGAGTGTCTGAGTCGATCATATAGTGCGTTTAACGAGACCAGCGCCGCGTAGTGCAGTCACACATCTACGCGCGAGCGTTACCGTAGGCGCTGCATGCAGGGACCATGCTGCGCACAACATCGCGGGCCTTGCTTTTATCGCTGTACCTCGTGATTATTCCGTTTTTGCAGCAGCGGTCTGTCATTTTTCTTGCTTTTATGCTCATATGCAATCTGTCTTTATACCTGATATGTTTTTCTTTTTCGCAGCAAAGAAAGGAGGTATCAATTTCTTGAGCGTTCTTCTGACATCTTTCACTTCATACAGGCCTCCTTCTTCGGAAGGCTGATTCCGGATGTCATGATTCATTATATCGACTTATGTTCCAGCGGACATAATCGTATATCGTCTAGGTTCGACTGAACGGCGCCAACGTGCTGTTCACTCAAGCTGCTCTCAACCTGCACGGTACACGATTACACTTTACTATATAACTTTTAGCTGTAAGGAGGAAGAACACAAGTCGTTCTCAGAATCCTCAAACGAAATGATTAAAGTATATTTTCTTTGAAAGGCCTCAAACCTCCATTCTGTCTTCTATTCGCGCGGTGATACTTTGCGAGATCTCAGAAAGGGCACCGAAGTAGAGTTTTAATCAAGAAAAGCTCAGAAATTTGGAAGCAGGGCAGCGAATAAGCTGAGAAAGAAGAAGGAAGAGTAGCTAAATCAAGGACCACGCGGCTTTGCGCGGCAGGGTCCCTCTGCAGCCCACGGTAGCGCTCGCGCGCAGGTGTGTGACTGCACTACGCGGCGCTGGCCCCGTCGAACGCATTGTACATGTTCTCAGATGCGTGCCACTACATGTTCTATGATGTCATTCATTTTTCCTGTTTCTGGGGTTCCTTAATGACTTGAAATGCGTACGATGGTAAAATGGTAAAATGGTAAAAATACATTGGTAAAAAAGCCTCTACTTGAGCACTCCCATTATGAGAGTCTCACCCACCCTTCACCCCGCACTTTTTGTAACGGACCCCAGGCAAAGTAAATATTTTCTGAAAGCGGAGGACGAGACGGCTCCAATGGTGACCATTTCTATGCACTATCTGTTCATCTATAAAAGTTATGAATTTTTTATGTTAAAAACTCGAAAATCTCCAGAATTCACTAAGCACACTCACCCAGGCACTTTTTTGGACTGATCTCAGACATGCTATATACTTTCTGAAAGCGGAGGACCAGGCGGTTCCGACGATGACTATTTCCTTGTACAGGTTGTTCATCTACAGAGTTACGGACTTTTCCTGAAATTTCGTAAATATCCAGAAATCACTACCCACACCCTTCACCAGGCACTTTTTTCAATAGACTCCAGGAAAACTATATATTTCCTGAAAGGGGGGAATAGATGGTTCCACGGTGACCATGTCGGCGTACAAGATGTTCGTCTACAGAAGTTATGCATTTTTTCTTCAAAAGTTCGTAAATATCCGGTGATCACTGTCCACTGTCCCATTACCAGCATTTTTTTGAAAGAACCCCAGACAAACTATACATTTACTGTAAGCGGAAAAAAGATGGTTCTGAAGTAAATTTCCTTGCCGACGTTGCTGTTCATCTGCAGAAGTTATGAATTTTTTTTAAAAATTCGTTAATGCTTAAAAAATTGTCTACCTCTTTCCCAAAACAGATGTTTTCGCATACATATCTCCTATGTTAGATTTGAAAACAGACAGGGTGGTTCCAATCCTACTTCAGTCTTCACATTTTAGAAAAAAGACAACCAGTTATGGCAGAGAATAAAGAATGATAAACTTTGATTAGGAAAAATGATGAAGGAACACCATCACTTCTTCTCCCCCTCCCCCCCCCCCCCCCCGGTCGACATTTTATAATTTCTCTATCAAGTGAAACAAACTTCATTCGGAGGGGCTGCAACCGCTGTGACTCCCTTCACCCTGGAGGGATCATTCTCACCTTATCGCACCTATGGCCTGGGTATAGCGATGCGAGGTAAATACATTAGACTTATTATAAATATTTATTAAAATTGAAATATGGATGATGCATAGGGGGGGGGGGGGGGAAGTGGGGCGAGCCCGTCGGCTCCGCTGCTCCCACCTTCACTGAGCCTTAGGCGATGGCTCTGCCCCCAGCCGGCAGCTCGCCGGGCTGGGTTATTTCCTGACATCTCCATTCCCAATTTAAGCTCGTCCTCGAGTTTATAGATAGTTGGCAAACGTGATGACGTTGTTGAGTTTGCATCTTCGAAGGCTCCGTTCGCGGATGAATAGCCTATTCTGACGCAATCACTACCTCTCATTGTTCGAGATTGGCTAAAGTATTCCCCCAAAGACTCATTCTCACGCTTGCCACATGGGAAACTTTAGAAAATGTTGAAGCACAGCACATCCTGTATGACGCGCTAATTGTCTACAGTTGAGACGCCCTTTCAGAGCATCAGAATCACACACCGATCTCGATGGAGAAAATAAATAGCTATTTGCAAATTCCCATCACATACATTTTTGCTACTGGATAGTTATTCATTCTCTAAGGTTAGTTTGCTTTTCTATTTTTACCCGCCGCACCGTCGCGCTTTTATATAATTGCAATTTTCTTTGAATAGGCAATTCAAAGAAATCATTAGCATTAGGCAGCTCAAAATCAAACTATTTACCTAACAAACAAATTTTGCCCCTATGCTGAACGAAAAAAAGTGTGCAGTGCCCAGTTCCAATATGAACTCGTTTTGCCTCTGTCATAACATGCAATTCTTCACAGAAAATGTTGATACGAAAAAAACATTCAACTTTGCAATCTTAGCGCCAAAACATGTTGTATGACTGTTCAGTTACTGTGAGTAAACCGTGATTTATCGCTCACTATTATCTTGATGTAAACTCCTGTTGTCAGTCATTCACACCCACTATCTCGTATGTTATTAGTTTTGATTACAATTCTTTACATACTGTAAACTCTACTCCAAATGTTAAATCATTTGCCTACCCAATCAACTCGAATCTTTCTACTACGCCCACAGACCAGCCGGTTCAATCTTCATCTCCTACAATTCCACTCCAATTCCTTCCCATCATCACGTCGGGAACCTTACTCAAGTTAACTGCTTTCTCCGCAGTTTCCTACACCGTTCCTCAGCTACCTTCAAGCTCGAGGACGATATTACTCAAAGCCGAGATGCTACTGCTATTTTTATCTGCTTTTTTTTACAAGGCAGTCTTCACACCAGCTCCAACTACCACTATAAGTTTGCCCCCGAACGCCATAGCTGGAAGGGGATAAACTTAGCGTGATGCTGCACTTTGGGAGCCTGAGCGTGCAAAGACTGGGCGATAAAATTCCACTGCCGCCTGGATTCAAGAGTGCGTTTCTGCGAGCACGTCCAACGTCTGTTTCAATGGTATTGTTGGAGGAGATAGCTTAAAAAAAAGCTGGGTGAGAAGGCGGGCAGAAATAGAAGAAACTAAACGTGTAATTCTTTGTTGTCTATGTTATTGTCATCTGAATGGAATAAAACTGTTGTTTCTGTTTCTAAATTCACAAAAAAAACTTTTACATAGAGTTCGTATGTCTATGCAGGGTGTAGTTGTAATGTGAGAAACATTAGTTTGTGTAAATTCGGCGTAGGGACTATCGAATGTAGCCCTCATTAATTGGAATTAAAAGATGTAACATTCTCCTAGCGGCCAACTGTTGCGCATTGTAAGCTAGGTGACAGATACAAATGTTAATCCTATCGAGCATATGCTCTTGTAAGGCGGATAGTTGCTAATCTTCCTTTGGGACGCTAATCCTACCGGCCATATGTTTGTAAATTCCCTAGGATATTATTTGCTACCCCACATGTGTTGCACAGTGTATCAGCGAAAAGACTTAGCTAGTGTGACACCACAGTTGGTGCCAGCCGAGGAATTCCCAGCTATACGTAATGTATGCGAAAAAGTTTTTTTTAGTACTAGTATTGGTTTGGGTACCGGTATTCGCGAGCGAGTCCTTGGATTGCAAAAGAAAACAAATAAATCTACGTAAAATGCAAAAATCCTAGCGCGATCGTAATATATAATCACAGGTACCGGACCCAGTGACTAGGTCACGGTTTTTTGCGGGTACGGTGAACCGCGGTAAATTATAGCTATTCACGGCTTTTCACGGCATTTCCCGGTGTATTCCCAGTGCAAAATACGCAAAAATACATATTGGCCAAGAGAAGGTTAAAAAAGTTTCTGCTAAAGTAGGCTCGCTCGCAGGACTGTTTGAAATCGATATATACAATAATTATTAGGTTGTCTCGTAAGTCTTTTCAATTTTGACTTTTCAAAGCAATAAGTCACAAACCTGTCGATTTTGATTGAGATGCAGGGTATCTTTCGATAGAGCAAAGCGAGCTCTACAAGATGGCATGTAAGAGTTCGCACCAGATTTACACATCACTAGTTAGAAGCCAAAATCTGAGAACTTTTGAAAATTTTCTATAACTTTTTTCTTAAAAACTTACCAGATTCCAAACTCGCTCATGCACAGACACTCCACACAATACATTCATGTGTGCCGTTGCTGTGTTTTCTGTGTTAGAAACAGAGAAAAATTTTTTCAAGCTTCCAGAAAAGCGATGCTACGCTGTTTTCATACAGCTAAGTGTATACTACAGGCCCTACCTCCCCGGGACCTCCATGTCAGGTTCAAGGGGTGTACGGACCCTTGCTTGAGTGTAGCGGTGCGAGGTAAGTACATTAGAGTCATTATAAATATTTATTAAGATTAAAATATGGATGATACATAGGGGGGGGGGGAGGGGGAAGTGGGGCGAGCCCGTCGGCTCCGCTGCTCCCACCTTCACTGAGCCTTAGGCGATGGCTCTGCCCCCAGCCGGCAGCTGATCCGGGCTGGGTCCTGAAGGTTCGTTCATGGGTCCATTTCGATGAGCTATTCGACCTAAGGCAAAGATCTACCTTGATCATTGACCTAAAACTTTTAACCCCCAGTGATGGAAAACTCTAAATTAAGTGCGTAGTACGGCCCAGGGATGAAGTATTGCCTCATTCTCGCGCAGATTGCCCTTGTTATGTGGTACAAACCAAACTTTCAGGTAAGCGACGAACGTTTTCGTCAACGTTTTCCATTTCGTACAAAATATACCTAGTTAGATTTTTGGCCAAATATGCTAATCTTGATTCGCTCTACTAATATCAGTTTTCATCTGCCATGATCCTGAAAATTGGGGTTTCTTGTGCAGGCAGCACTTACTTCATCTTATTTTCTCCAATAAAACATAGGATCCATGAGAAAGCTCCCGTGTAATAATGAAATTGAAGAAGGCGTTCATTTATGTTGTAAAATAGAGAAGCATAAGAGTTGTGAATTCAGAAGACAAATGACTAGGGGTTTCAAAGCATGCGAAGCATAAAACGGAAGATTCCGAAAGACAGATGCGAATCACCTCACAAGCGATGCTAGTGAAAACTGAGCATAAACAATAAAACATAGTCACAATGTCGAGTACAATCAAACCTGGCGTGGATCTAATCTGCAGCAATTATTCGTCGCCTATTAATGATTACATAATTGCGACTTTGCATGTGATGCTTTTGTAGAGTTCAGATAAAGACTTGCAGTCAAAGTTTCTGAAGGACAAACATGATCAAATACTTATAAGGAATGGACAAGCATGAAGTTGAAAAATCCGCAAGACGAATGCAACCAGCATTGTCCACGCGTTTACTGGTGGAGATCGTAACAAACGCACAATCATCTTTGCTTGCAACTCGCAAACTAGCGTAATCAACTAGACTTATGTTGATCTTCTACTGCCACATTAGTATTTTCCTCATCATTTGATGTTATAACAATCGCTCTTGCTCATTGACGTGATGCTTTCGTAAAGATTGCAAGCAACAGCAAACCATTTTACTGCTTTTCTTTGTCTATCCAAAAAAAACTACCCTAGCTCTACATAGTATGTTCGGGATAATGCAGTACATCCATTCTCCACACACAGATCCTGTATGGCGTTGTAGCGATTTCTATCCAGGTAATGATCATGCAAATTCCAATTGTTATTATATTCTCAGAGCAGAAAATATGTTTAATAGTGGTACCCAGTCCAGATTGCGAGCGTGCCGCTTTCATCACATTTCTTGAAAATGCGCTCAAGATTTCCGAGGAGTCGGTCTTCACTCAGGCAAAGCATAATCGAGACTGAAAAGCAGAGCGAAATATCCCGGAAAACTTTATGTCTGGAGGAGGTATCTCTACGAAGGGTACCACTGCTCCAGCGATCTTCAAGCGAACGCTCTGAATGGTTTCGAGGCTCTACTTTGAAATCTGGGAAGAATGCTGCCTCCGTTTCTTTAAGAGGGCATTGATGGTCAGAATTCGACTCTAAGTTCTTTTCTGTTATAGATGAATTCTAGGATCGACAAGCTGGCGCAAGGCAACGCTCCTGCACACAAAAGCGCCTACATTCATGGGTCGCCTACGCCAACGTGTGAAGACGGTGGAATAGCCGGACGAGTCCCCTGACTTAGACCCCATCGAATTAGCTGGGGAAGCATGAAGGCCGATATAGGGTATGATTTTGATCACATCAGTCTTTTACTGTTCATAAAAAGAATTATGTAAAAATTAAATGCCAATTTTTTATTTAAGCGGGGAAAACACTCGCAAGTTAGATGAAATGAAGAGCCTGCTGGAGCGCGCTAACATTGGACTTCTGCCAAAATACATGAAGGGAGTTCAGTGCAGGGTGCCTGCGGTGGAGTCAGCGCGGGGAGGAAACATTATTGAGAGAAATCTGAACCGCCAATGCAGATCGTCTCTAAATCTGAGCGCGCATCGAAAAAGAAGATGATTGGTTTTGATTGAAATAATACTTGAATCTATTTGTATTGGATGTTCAATAATTTTTTCCGTTTTTACCATAGACATCAGCATTTCACGAAAACTGGGGAACCTACCAAGGGTACAGATACATGGTCGTACTTCTATATGAATGAGCAATATGATCACGTGCGTGAGGAGCTCAAGTCGTTTAGTGGCGGAGTTTGCCATTTTACCCCGTTCATTTTTTTCTTTATTTCTAGCCATGGAAATATACAAAAGTTGTACAATTGAATGTTCGATATGTCTAATATGTATATGCTAGGATAAATGGGGGATTTTCAAGATTTTTTGAGGACGGAGATACCATTTTTGACGGTAACGTTCTTTTGACTACTATCAAACTGCTCAAAACTTCACGTGGAATTGATTTGGGCAGACTCTCGATAGCCATCTTGTAGAGCTTGCTTTGCCCTGTTGGATAAT